TGCCCTTAGTAACAGTAAAGTTTTTCTAGCATTTAGCTACAGAAAGGTATTTTACAAAGTACTTCCAGGCACTTACAGCCCAGGAGTAGATGGTTTACTTTTTTTAATGAGCATGTGGCAATGAAGCATACATAGACAGCAAAGAAGGAAATTGCAGGGTACATGTTTCTAGCTACGGAAGTCCTTCAATTACTGGAGAGTGTTAGAGACTTAATATCTGCCACCCTGTCACAAACATTTTTTGTTTTGTTTTGCTTTTTGGTGTTTTTTTAAAATTGTTGTTGTTGATCGTGGGACTTGAACTCTGGGCCTGGGTGCTGTGTGTCAGCTCTTCAGCTCAAGGTGAGTGCTCTGCCACTGGAGCCACAGCGCCACTTCCAGTTTTCTGGTGGTTAATTGCAGATGAGCCATGGACTTTCCTGCCAGGGTTAGCTTTGAACTGCAGTTCACAGATCTCAGCCTCCTGAGTTGCTAGGATTACAGATGTGAGCCATCGGTGCCCGGCAGTCACAAACATTTTAAAGAAATATAACCAACATCCATTGCTTTTTGCAAACAGCCTTCTGGAGACATAGTTTACACCCTGTATGAGTCAGATATTTTACAAGTACAATGAAGTGTTTTTAGTATATTGATAGAGTTGCGCAATCAATGTCAAGCTAATAGTGGAACATTTCATCTTCTCTTAGAAGAAACTGTCCTTTTTAATCCCTTCCCTTCTCCTGCCCCTTTACAGCTCTAAGCCACCACTAATCTACTCTTAGTCACTATTAGAATATCTTATATGAATAGAATTGTATATGTGATATTGTATATGTGATATTTTTCCTTTAAACTTTTTTTCCTTTAAATAGTTGTACAAAGGGGTTTTGACTGGACATGTCAATTTGTGAGTACAATGTATCTTGATCAATGTCACCCATTTCATTCATCATTATCCCGTATCTCTCCCAACCCACCCATTCTCTCATGTGACCTGGTTCCAGTTAGTATGTGATTTTTTTTGGAGGGGAATAACTTGTTTTTTTTCAGTGAGCACAGTCTTCCATTCCTTTTTATTTCTGAATGATATTCTATTTGTGGGTATACTATTATAATTTGTTATTGCATATTTTGATGGTTTCCAAGTTTGGATACTATAAACAGTGCCGCTATTTGTATACAAGTTCATATATGTTTTTATTTCTCATGTGTCGATCCTTTGGAGTGGGATTACTGGATCCCATTGTATCTCTGTATTTAAAGAGGAAATGCCAGACATTTCCTAAGTGACTATTCCACTTTATATTCCATCAGCAATATATGGGGTGGAGTGTCTCCATATTCTTGCCAATAAGGGTTAATACCTTATTTTTTGATCATAGCCCTCCTGGTGAGTATGAAGTGGTATTTTACTGTGGTTTTGATGTGCCCTTCCCTCATGAAATATGCTTAACATCTTTTTCTATCTTTTTTTATTATTGAGTTATCATAGTTTAAAAATATTATCTGGATACTAGAGGGTGGTATTTTTTTGTCTTTGTTTTTTGTTTTGGTTAGTCATGGGGCTTGAACTCTGGGCCTGGGTGCTGTCCCTGAACTCTTCAGCTCAAGGCAAGCACTCTATCACTTGAGCTACAGCGTCACTTCTGGTTTTCTGGCAGTTAATTGGAGATAAGAGTCTCATGGACTTTCCTGCCTGGGCTGGCTTTGAACCGCAACTCTCAGATCTCAGCTTCCTGAGATCTCAGCTAGAATTGCAGGCGTGAGGCACCGATGCCTGGCTACTAGATGTTTTTTAACATTAATTTTGGCAGTATGGGTTTGAACTTAGGGTTTTTGGCTTGTGAGGCTTACTTTTGCTTGGTTGGCATTCTACCATTTGAGCCACATCTGTAGTTCTGCTTTTTGCTGAGTTGCTAGGATTACAGGATTACAGGTATGGGTCATGGGCATACAACTTCAATATATGTATTTTCTGAGGGGGATATAATTAGCATATCATTAAACTCACACTTTAAAAGTGGACAGTCTAGTGGCTATACTATATTCATAGTGTTATACAACTGTTACCACCCTCTAACTCCAGGATATTTTCATTTGCCTCTAAAAGAAGAGCTTTATCCATCAATCAGTCACTTCTTTTTTTTTTTTTTTGCTGGTCATGGGGCCTGAACGCTGGGTCTGGGCGCTGTCCCTCAGCTCTTCAGCTCAAGGCTAGCACTCTACCACTGGAGCCATAGCACCACTTCCGGCTTTTTCTGTTCATGGGGTGCTGAAGATTCGAACCCAGGGCCTCATGCTTGCAAGGCATGCACTCTACCGCTGAGCTACCTTCCCAGCCCTAATCAGTCACTTCTTACTCTCCTCCTCATCCCCCTGACCTTCTTTTCTGGTAACCACCCCTGATCTTTTAGTCTCTGTGAATTCCCCTACTCTGAACATTTCATCCAGATGGACGTATAGAGCAAATATCTGACTTTCATGCTATCTTCTTAACACATTTTTTTCACAGACATATCCTTGCTGTAGCATGTTCTACTTCTTCATTTCTTTTTATGTGATCAAATGATAAACCATTGCATGGACACGCAACATTTTGTTTATCCAGTTAGGAAGGATTTTGAGGCTAAAGCTGAGAGCAGCAGGGAAGAGAGCAATGGCAGAGGATATCTGCCAGGTGCGGGGGGAGAGAGCTCCACAGGCTCCTCGTGCGCACAGAGCAGTGTGAGGTGCCAATACATTGATATAAAGTATCTGGTGAACAGTAGAGCCTAATTTTTTTTTTTTATAGGTTCTGGGGCTTGAGCTCAGGGTATTGTCCCTGAACTCTTTCACTCAAGGCTAGTGCTCTACCACCTAGAGCCACAGAACTCCACTTCCAGTTTTCTGGTGGTTAACTGGAGATAAGAGTCTCACAGACTTTCATGCCTAGACTGGCTTTGAACTGGGATTCTCAGATCTCAGCCTCCTGAATGGTTTAGGATTACAGGAGTGAGCCTCCAGAGCTTGACCCTGTTAGAATGTTTTCTAAAAGACCTCTAGATAGATGCCGGATCCTATAATGGAAAAATAGAAGACTGAATAGATAGCTGATCCTTCCACTCTGTTTCCTTGCTAGAAAGGCAGTTGATACCAATAGTGCTTCTGAAATTGTGTAATTTATGTTCACAGTGCATCCCTGGGATTTCTGAACACTGGTAGACTCAGTAGATCTGAGTGAGAATGAGGAGAAAACCCCATTACAGGTAGAGATGGAAGTAGATGGGCTAAGATAGATGTGTGATTTAAACATGTTCTTTCCTATTCTGGGCGTTATCATTTTACTTTTCTCTATGTGTTCTGGGGAACAAACTCACAGCCTCAAGCACGCTAAGCACACACTTGACAACTGAGTTACATTTGACTTGCTTTTCACTTTCTTCATGGGGTCCTTTGAAGCAAAAAATGATTTATTTATTATTTATTTGGGGTAAGGCTGGTCTCACACTCCTAACGTAATGATTTGGCCTTCTGAGTAGCTAGTACTATAGGCATTCATTGATGCATCTGGTTAAAAGCTTTCAATTTGTGATAGAGCCCAATGTAGCTAATATTTCATTTGTTATTTGTGCTTTTGATGCTGTCTGTGAAAACCTATCTAACTCAAGATCATGAAGATCTATGTTTTCTTCTGAAAGTTTCTTCTGACCTTTGGTAGTTTAAATTAATTTTTGTATATAATGTGAGATTATATACAAAGATTCCTTATTCTTTTGCATATGGACTGTTGACCCAGAACGGTTTGCTAAAAAGCTATTCTCTCTTTATGACTCAGTGTATCGGGAAGTAAGTGAGCTCTTTATTCAAAATGGCTAGGGAACCTACCACAATCATTTTGTCCTTTTTTAGGTACTTTGCCATTGTGTTTTAGAAGTGAGCTCTTTTGAAAGGTTAAAGTGAATGAGAACAAATTGCTTTAAGGAGGTTCCAAAAAAAAAAAAAACAAACCTAAAACAAAACACAGTAAAAACCAACCTTCAAGACATCCAGGTATGATAATATTTGAGGGAGAAATAATGGGTCTAGTTCCTTTGTTCCAGTAATTAGAACATCTCCTACTGTTACAGAAATGCACACTCAAATACTGTTACATTGGGGAGGTCAAGGCACTTTTCAAAGCCACTAGTTTGCTGTCCTCTTGAGCAAATGTTGGCAACATCTTTAAAAACCATACAAAATCCCGCCACCACTAGAATGTCTGGCCTCTCTTACGGAATGCAACTGACACGTTTATGTTAATTATTGACTAAAGCTGAAGAAAAAAAGAAGCGCTTTGTACAACGGGGCGGGGGGGGGGTGATTCTCCCGTGAGGCCCCGTGCCTGGGAACCGTTACGTTGGCCTGAAGAATGCCAAAGTCAGGGATACAAAGCATGGCCTGGAGAGGCTCTCCAGCCTTCCTCTCCAGCCTCCCTCTCTCCAGCCTCCCTCTCCAGCCTCCCTCTCTGGCTCCTCGCGGCGCACCGCTGTGGAGGCCTGGTTTAAAACCGGTCTCACAGATTCGGAGTTGCTCCTCCCTTCGCGCGCGCTGGCAGCGCTTGGTCCTCCAGGCTGCTCCTGGAGCAGGGGACCAAGCAATCTAGGTTTGGCCAGACTGCAGGGTTCGAGCCCACAGATCTCTGTGCGGGCCTTGCGTTGTCCCCCGCGGTCAGGGCGGCAGCGGCTGCAGGGCAGTGGCCGCAAGCGGTGCCCGCGCGCAGGGCGCACAGGTGGCATAGGGTTGGGGCAGGTTGGGCTGGGGCACGCTGCGCTGGGGCAGGCTGGGCCGGGCTGGGTGTGGTGCGGAACAGGACGACAGGCCTGGCCCCACCCGCTCTCAGATCGGCCGAGCGGCGGGCAGATGGGCAGATCGGTGGGACTGGCAGGCTGTGGACTCTGCGCAGGGACGTGGGACCCCAGGGCGAACGCGGTGCCGGGCTGCGGGGAGCGCGGGGCCGTCGCGGGGCGTCTGTCCTCGCGCTCGCTGCTCTCAGAGGCACGATGCCCTCCCTGTGGAGAGAGATCTTCCTGGAGACTTTTCTGGGTAAGCCCGGGTCGCCCTCGCCCCTGGGTGGCTGGTGCCAGCTCCCCCAACCCTCTGTGGCGCCCTGCATCCTGCCAGCTTAACTGAACTGGGAAAGGTGTGCAGAATGGAGATGTTTATCATCCCCTGGGAACCTGTGCTGCGGAAGGAAAGGGAATTGGAGACAAGACCGAGGTGGGGGTTCAGAAACTGAGGATCTACGGGGAGAGCATGCTCGGAGCTGCCACCCCTGCCCTGGCATTACACCCGGGCAGTGGGAGGACATATATGTTGGCCTTGAACTCGCCATAGCAGGTGCAAGCCCTTTCAGCCCCCCCCCCCGCCTCCACCTGTGACTTTTAAGTTTATCGCAATGCAATTCAGGACTGAACGTTAACAAGGGGAAAGGCCACCTCGTGTCCCCAGTGTGAGCCCCGGGCGGCCATGGTACACTTGGGCAATTGGCAAAGAGCATTTTGCAGCATAATTGAAATCAGTTTCCAGACAAGCATTTGGGAGGGTTTTGGAGGTGGCACTCTTTCGAACTTAATTTCTGGAAGGCACAACCTTTAGAAGAACTCTCCAGCTCCATTTTCCTGGCTCACCTTGTATGTTCTCAGCTGAGGAACAGGACTGAGACAACTACACAAAGTTTCTCCAATGCCAGGTACTCTGTGCCCTTGCTCAGTCCTCTGGACAGGTCTGGGAGGCAGCTAGAAGTTCTCTTTTCCTGATTAACAAAGGGAGATTGTTACGTAGCTTACTAGAAAGTTACCACACAGAGTAGCTAGACAGCTACTTGGCAGGCAGATTGTTTAAGTTGTATGTGCTGTTTGCTACTGTGCACTGTAGGCAATGACTGAACTTCCAGAGTGTCAGGACTTTTCAGCTGTTTTGTTTTGCCCTTGTTTACTTAGCTTGTTTATGCATTTGAAAGCATCCACCTTCTAGACCACTGGAGTTATGGGGGTGTGAGAGACAATCAGTCTTAACACTCAGCAGAGCCTAACATAGGATTAATTACTCATTCGTGTTAATCACCATTATCATTCGAGATTAGAGTTGGTTATTGGCTGAGGTGCTGCTGACTTCAGATCTGGGCGTTCCACTTCTCTATACTGCCTCCTAAGGGCTGGGTTTAACAGAAAAATATTGCCCAACTGAAGAGCTTCTGGGTGTATTGGAGATGAGCTGTGGGAACGCCTGTTATGTTTGTTCGTTTTGGCATTCATGATATTTTTGATTACCTATGGATCAAGTTAGATAAGGGAATTATCAATCAAGGTCCTGACAAGAAGCCAGCGTCAACTCACATGGTTCAAGATGAGGAAATTGTACTAAGGTTCCACCTGCAGGCACCTGGAACAACTAAGGGAACAAAGGGATGGTGAGAGACTTACAATAGCAAAAGCCTGTTTCCCACTGGGCTGAAGGATGGGGAGAAATTCTGTTGCTGGCACCCAGTGACAGTGAAAGCAGGAAAGTGGAGGTGGGAGCAGAGGGCAGGGCTGTCTGTTAAACGATGCCAGAGGCACAATTCTCTTTCTTCTAAACATTTCTTATAGGGTATGTTTCCTGGTCTCTCTACCATGGCCTGGCACCAATGATCTATTACTTTCCCCTGCAAACACTGGAGCTCACTGGATTGGAAGGTTTTGGAATAGCCTTTCTTTCTCCCGTACTTCTAACGATTTCTCCTTTCTGGAAATTGGTTAACAAGAAGTGGATACTGACTCTGCTTCGGATCATCACTGCTGGTAAGGTTTCAAGGTGTTTCTCTAAGATTTTTATTTTATTTTGTTGGCTGTGGGGCTAGAACTCAGGGCTTGGGTGCTGTCCCCAAGCCTCTTTGTGCTCAAGGTTAACGCTCTACCACTTGAGCCACAATGCCACATCTGGTTTTTGATTGACTAATTGGAGATAAGGGTCACAGGGACTTTTCTGCCTGGGCTGGCTTCGAACTGCGATCCTTAGATCTCAGCCCCCTGAGTAGCTAGAATTACAAGTGTGAGCTACCAGTGCCCAGCTCTCTAAGATTTTTTTATTCATATAAAAATGAAATGAAGGGGCTGGAAAGGTGGCTTAGTGGTAGAGCGCTTGCCTTGCATGTGTGAGGCCCTGGGTTTGATTCCTCAGCATCACATAAGCAAAAAGAAAAAAAAAGCCGGAAGTGGCGCTGTGGCTCAAGTGGTAGAGCGCTAGCCTTGAGCTGAAGAGCTGAGGGACAGTACCCAGGCCCAGAGTTCAGGCCCCATGACCAGACCCCCCCCCCAAAAAAAAGAAAAAGAAAAATGAAATGAATGAAATGAACTGTTCTTGACAGGCTAGATGATTGATTCAAAACTTGAAGATCTTTTTCCAACTACTACTTTAGAAAAATTTACCTTCCGTAAAATTGAAAGACTAGACTGAGAGTCAATTTGATTCATGTTTCTAACATCAGACTAGAAAGGCATAAAAATCCCTGTTATAAGCAGAGAAAAGGTACCTTGGTGAACAAGGCAACTCCTGAATATGTTGTGCTCTTTCTTCCAATGATGACAAAACACAATCAAACAAAAAAGAGATCATTTAAATAATATTGCATGACAGTTATGAAGCCATGGCCAACAGATATTGTACAAAGTAAACAGTACACTAAGAAAACTATTTGTAACTCTTTGCCTCAAAAGGATTATTTCCACATTTGTTCCTACAAACAAAAACAAAACAAAACAAAAGAACATCAACTTGCTAGACAAAATGGGAAGAAGAAATCATCAAGCTGGAAAGGGAAAAGGACTGGTTCTTAAAAATATAATAAAATATGCAGTCTTTTAATTTATGCATACATATTTGTCTGTTAGTGTCACAAATGAATTGACAGAAAAAAAACATGAGTGTGCTGTGTGGGTAGAGTGGAAAAATGGTCACTAATATAATGCTTGTGCGCATGTAAATTAGGATAACTTCCATGGAGTTAATTAAGCAGTATTTATAAGAGCTGTACATAACTTATACCCAGCAACCTTACTTCTAGAAATATATCCTACAGATGTATGTAAATGATACATGTGCAAAATCATCCAGTCCTGCTGGGGATATCTGTCATAAGAAGACTGGAAGGAGCCTAAATATCATCTCTAAGGAATAAGTTAAATAACCAATGGTTATGAAACTTGAAATACCATATAGACTACTATGCAACTATCAAAAAAGAGAAGCTATTATTAATAATGAAATATGGAATGCTTTTAAAGTATAATTTGTGAAATTGGTTATATTAAATAGAGCATATAGAATGCTAATCTCTATATAAAATTTGTTTGAAAATAAATTTAGTATTTGACCAGACACAATTAAGTATTCCTAAAGGAACTTAGAAATGGTAGCATTGCTACTAGGGTGGAGAATGTGGTACCTAAACACAGGTCTGACAATGAAATTCTATGCTTCCATCAGAAAGAATGACATCACCCTCTTCATAAGGAAATGGAAAGATTTGGGAAAAGTCATATTAAGTGAAGTAAGCCAGACTCAAAGAAACATAGATCCCATGTTTTCCCTTATTTGTAATAATTAGTATGTGTCTAGGATAGTCTTGGCAGATGAGTAGAATATCTCAATAGCTATGTACATATGACCATATAAGATGATGCTAAGTGAAATGAACTCCAAGATATGGAAATAAGAGGTTTTTCTTTGTTGTTGTTGTTTTTAATGTACTATGTGATTTTTTTCTTTTATGTTTTTTTTTCTTATGGTTTATCCCCTGTTGTCACTGTATTTGATTTGGTGCCCTGGGTATTGTATATATATCTATCTGAATTAGGGAAGGCAAGGAACAACAAAATGGGGAGACAAAGAGTGAACCAATGCAATAGCGATACTCACAAGACAATATGTTGGAAATGAACTGTATAACTTGGGGGGGGTGGGAGGAGGGAAAGTGGGAGAAAAATGAGGGAAGGGGTAACAGTTTGACAAGAAATATGCTCACTACCTTACATATGTAACTGTAACCCCTCTGTACATCACCTTGACAATAACATTAAATGAAAAAAATAAATACAGGTCTGCAGGGAAAAATTGGCACTGTTACCATTTTTGTACCTTTGAATTCTGAATTTGAATAGATCACATTGTTAAAGATAATAAAAATTTAGATGTATAGTTTCTATTATGAATTGAGGTTTTAGACATTAGTAACTATTGAGAATCTTTGGAGATGAGCCAGTAGTAAAAAAAAAAAAAAAAAGCAAGAAGAGATTATGGAGAGTAGATTCAAAATGAAAAATGCCAGACTGTAGATGGGTTGGATCTGTAGCTGAAATTGAGTCATCTTGTTCTTCTGTTGTAACTCAGTTTCTCTGAGATTCCCATGTGGCATTTGTTCATGAGTCACTGCATAGATCTTCTGTCTGAATGTAGACATTTGGTGTTTTCAGAAGCAGTACCAGGAATCACTAAACAATTACAGTGCTGTTGTTGTTTTGTGTGTGTGTGTGTGTGTGTGTGTGTGTGTGTGTGTGTGTGTGTGTGTGTAACAACCCCTGGCAGATGCAGAACAAAGTAGGTGCTAAGAGATCCATGGTTTTCCTGAAGGTATACAACTCTGGTTTTTCAAAGAGCTCCAAGTCAGAAGGAATGGTGGGAAAGACTCCTGGAAACTGCCCTTTACAAAGATGACTCCCACATACATGGAAAAACAGGCCAAATGATCAGGAAAATTTCAGGGCTAGGAATGATAGAAATGAGGCTTTCTGCCCTGAAAACGGAGTACTATAGTGACCGAGTCAACTGCTGTTGGGTTACAGAATCTTCATATTGATCACTGTGGCCTCTGCCTGGAAAGCCTTAGCTCTGGAGGCACCCACTAGCAGTTCATTATTTCAGTCCAGTTCTGTCTGGTAACAAGTGGCTATAGGGGATATAAGACAGAGTAGGTTTGGGAGGGGTAGGGATGGTGATTGATTGAGGTCCTTCTGTTGTTCCCCTTTACACTGCACAGAGACAGAACTGAATCTGGTGGGAAACTCAAGTAGAGGGAAGTCGCTCAGAGATGTGAATGGAGGGCCCAATCTTTTGCTGGCAGATGCTACTCAGAGGCTGCAATTAGTCATGGCCTGCCTTGGAATGCCCTTTAAATGCTTATTAAGCCCAGGTATAGATGGCTCAGGCCTGTAATCCTAGCTACTCAGAAGGCTGAGATCTGAGGATTTCAGTTCAAAGCCAGCCCTGGCAGGATCTGTGAGACTCTTTATCCCCAATTAACCAGAAAAGCTGGAGGTGGAGTTGTGGCTCAAGTGGTAAAGTGATAACCTTGAGCAAAAAAGCACAGGGACAGCATTCAGTCCCTGAATTCAAGCCCCAGGACTGGCACATACACACATAAAATGCTTCTTAAAGACAGGTTGCATTTTTTTAAAAAAGAGTCCTGAGGGTTTTTAAATGTAAATAACCTCACAGGTCTGTTTCCTGAAATTTCACCTCTGTTACCTGAAGCTAATTACTATGTAATTAGCTAAGAAGTCATTTATGTTCACTAATTTAGATTATTTCTGATCATAAATGTTTTGATCTACTAGGATCATTATGGTAAAAACAATAACAAGTGTTTGCATGGATGTGAAGAAATTGGAAGCTTAATGTATTTCTGATGGAAACATAAGAAATATTCAGTGGTACAGCTGTTTTGAGAGATTGTTTAGTAGTTTTCCAAGAAGTTAAACAAAATTTTCATGTGATCCAACAGTCCTACGCCTTTATATATAATATATATTTATATATAGCATATATCCAAGAAAAATGAAAACTTATATGAATATAGAAATGTGTACACAGATGTTCAAAGCAGCATTGTTTACAAATGCCAAGAAATGGAAACAGCAAGTGCTCACCAACAGATGAATGGATAAATGAAATGCAATATATCCACATAATATAATTTTAATTAGGCACAAAAAGGAACCAAACATTGATACCTGTTACAACATGGATTAAACTTGAAAATATTATGCTGAGAGAAAGAAGCCGCAGAACATCATAAATTGTATGATTGTATTTATGTGAAATGCCCAAAGTAGGAAAAATCCAGAGTCAGAAAGTATATTGATTGTGTGGGAGTGACTTCTAATAGATATGGGGTTTCTCTTTGGGGTGACAATGTTCTGGAATTAGTGGTGATAGTTGTCCAACTTTGTAAATGCACTCAATGATAAAAATCATGGAGTTCTATACTTAGATATGGCTACCTTTTTTCCTCTGTGATTTCTTTTTACACTAGGCCGGTACTGGGGCTTGAACTCAGTGCTTTTCACTCTTCACTTGGCAATTTTACTTATGGCAAGTGCTTTATTACTTGGGCCATACCTCCACTTTCAGCTTTTTGCTTGTTAGTTGGATAAAAATCTCACAGATTTGTCTGCCCCTGATAGCTTTTAAATTGAGATAATCAGATCTGAGTCTTCTGGGATTATAGGTGTGAATGGCTAGATATGGTAAATTTTATAGTGTGTGAATTGTGTGCCAATAAAAGTTTAAAAAAAGATAATGCATGTAGTTAGATAATAACACAATTCTCGAGTGTAATGATAGTATCACCAATATGTGGCAAATCAGACCATAAAGTTGCAATGTCTGCTTTTCACAAGTGCTCAGCTCTGCTCACTTTGTTTGTAGGCAGTATAGCTTCCCTCAAGGCTCCAAATGCCACACTTCGACTGGTGCTCCTTGCATTTGGTGTGTCTTCCTCGTTGGTGGTACAAAGTGTGACTTGGTGGTCAGGAAGTGGTTTGCAAAGGTATGATTCATATCTTATGTACTTGTGGACATACTGGTCTGGTTAGTTTCCAAAGTGAAACCCAGTGTGGGATTTGTAAATCACAATTTAACCTTCTATGTGATCTTACACAAGTCTTTGCTTTTCATTAATTTGAACAGTTGCTATATATACAAATATATGTAATAGATATGTATATATACTACAAATACATACATTGCAATTATTATATATACAAATGTATAACTATAGATAGAATTGTAATATAATAATATGCACATTGTCTCCAGGGATTGAGCCCTTACTCTTGCTAAACACACAGTCTACCACTCACTAAAAACCCTCAGCCTTAATAATATTTTAGGAATGAAAGAATTATTACACGTTATCTAGGTAATGGGGTATAGAAGGGCTAAGCCAAGTGGATTATTTCAAATTACCAACAATCAGCTTGAGATGATTTTTTTCTATGACACTGAAATTCACAATGCACCTCGAATCATGAAAGAGTCTTTAACAGTACTTTTGCACTGGCAGGTACCTCAGAATCTGGGGATTTATTTTAGGACAGTTTCTTCTTCTTGTCCTCCGCATATGGTATACCTCACTAAACCCAATCTGGAGCTCTCTGGTGTCCAACAGGATAATACTGACATTGAGTACCATAGCCACACTGGACCGCATTGGTGCAGGTAAGTAAATGTTCAATTTATTTGGGGACTTTCTCTCTTACAAAGTTTACCTTTTTGATGTGAATGTAGCATATCTGGAAAAGAAAATTGATAAAAATAGTTTTTCTGTATTGTATTTCCATCTCAGCTTTCCTCCCTTCTGAAATAGTGACTGAACTATGGTCTAAGCACACAGGGGTGTGTACCACTGTCGATGGGAGTCTAGACTCAGCCCCATTCATTCAGCTATCTTCCTCCTCTTCTCTCTCAACCTGGCCTCCAGCAGGGGAGTCTCCATCTTACACTGATCACACTGTAAGACTGGAAAGTTACTACAATCTAGATGTAGGCAACTTCCTGGGTTTAATCCAGGGATCTGAAGCTTGAAAAGAAAGGAAATCTTTGTAAGTTAATACTACTTTCTAAGCTAGTTTCCTCCTACAGAAGCTGGCTTTCTCTGAGACATACACAAACCCTGCTTGTGATCCAACTTGAGATGGTTCTAAAAAGAATAGAGAAGTGTGACTGGAGTCTAATTAACTTGGCTTGTGGCTTTTTGCTTAACTCAGTGAGTCACTGTTCCCTTGTATATACAAGGAGAAATCACACAGATATTAATAGAAGTGTTGGCTCAGCATGAACAAAAAGTGCTTGTGTAATTCCCCTCTGGCCTCAATTTTGGCTTGAAACTAAGGTAAGAAAATGGTGCAATTATCAGTAAAGGAGTCTTAACAGGCAAATGAGGAAACTAGCAGTAAAGGAGTCATGTCACATTAACATTAGAATATTTAGTGATTTTTCTAGTCTTCTATTGTATCTTTTATAAAAACTTATTTTTTTTTTGTTGATCATGGGGCTTGAACTCAAAGCCTGGTGGGTTCTGTCCCTGAGCTCTTTTGCTCACGGCTATAGCTCTCTCCTGCTTCGAACCATAGCTCCATTATGGTTTTTTGAGCGGTTAAGTGGAGATAAGAGTCTCACAGGAACTTTTCTGCCTGGGCTGGCTTTGAACTATATCCTCAGATCTCAGCCTCTTGAGTAGCTATAATTACAGGTGTAAGCTACCAGTGCCTGGCTTCTTTTATGTTTTATAAATTACTCCCAGGTAGGTGTGTCTCTCAGGTGCATCCTGACTTTGGATCATATTTGCCTTTTCAGACTTGAATTTTCTCCTTTTTCACCTCTGTTTCAAGTTTACGTGACCCACTTGCTAGCTGGTATTCTCTTACTCTGTTTTTGCCCTGTGCCTCATTTCCAAAATTCAGACTCTTTACCTGCTCCCTTAGAGTATCTGAGCACAGAGCAGGTGATTATTATTATTGTTGTTGCTTATTTTATTTTTGTTTTACCTTATTTGTTGGGTTATAGTGAATGGAGTCACCTACCTTGGTTTACTGCATTGTACTCAACAAATTGATCTTAGACATGTCTAAGTTCAAAGCCTCCAGGCACCTGATCTCATTTTGTCCACACCATCATCTCTTCCTATGCCATCTGCATAGCTCCCGCTCTGCTTTTTCTGCTCATCCCATTCTTAGTTTTCTTCCCCCTTGTGAATCCAGACTGCCAGTTCCACAGGCACACCCCAAGGCTTCCTTCTATTCTGCAGAGGACTTCACAGAGTCACAAGTGTGTAGCCTTTCAGGCTGTCTGTGTTTAACAGAAGAAATTCTCTGGCATTATCTGCCATGGTTACATGATTGTACATGAAGTCATCTCTGGGCTGGATGGAGTCTCTTGGTTCAATGAAACTATGAATTGGGCCAGTGGGGGCCAGTCAAGTGGAGTACATGCTGCCTACGCTCCAGGCCCAGTTTCTTAGTGCTCTCTACAAGCTGTGTGGTCTTGGGCAATTAATGGATCTCACTGGGCTGGTTTTCTAATCTGTAAAACAGAGTTAGTAAGAGCATGCACCTCATAAAGGTGCTGTGAGGATTAAGTGTGTGGGAAGAAAATTCATCAGTTGATGCACTGTTGTTACTTTGAGGTGTACAGAAAGTTCAGTGAGAGCCCTGTTCCTGTGTGTGTGTGTGTGTGTGTGTGTGTGTGTGTGTGTGTGTGTGTGTGTGTGTGTATGTGTGTTGGTATAGAGGCTTCAACACAGGGCCTGAGCTCTGTTACTAAGCTTTTTTGCTCAAGGTTGTTGTTCTACCACTTGAGCCACAGGTTTACTTCCTGTTTTATGCTGGTTAATTGGAAATAATATGAACTTTCTGACTGTGTTGACTTGGTACTATGATTCTAAGATCTAGCCTCCTAAGTAGTTAGGATTATAGGCATGATCCACCATCTTCAAGCTCCTCTTTGTTTTTGCTCTACTGAGGTTTGAACTTGGACCTCTCGTTTGCTAGGCAATCTAAAGTCTTTTTCTTTCATGGCCTGGTTTACTAGAAATGTCTCACCCAAGCTGGATGACATTTATTCCCTGACTATATCATTTGCTTTTAAAGCATAGATTTCTGCTCCATTCATTCTGTTAACTTCTCACAAATTCAGTAGCTTTCTGTATTTCTACTTGTCAAACTCCAAAATACCCTTTCTTCCTTACACTTAAACTGTGCCTTATCAAGCCTTCCAGAAATAATCTCTCCTATAGAACAGCTGTTTATCATAGCACACCTCTTCTCCCCTTCTAGAATAAACTCCTTGAATCCAGGTGCCATATCCTACTTGCTGAAAGTCTAGTGAAACCAGACCCAAACTGTGGAAGTTCCAGATTAGGTCTAGTCACTTGCCCATATACACCAAATAGTCATAGTGGCTCAGTACTGGTGGTTCATGCCTGTAATTCTAGCTATTCAGGAAGCTGAGGTGTGAGGATCATGGTTTGAAGCTAACCCTGGCAGAAAAGTCTGTGAAACTCTTATATCCAGTTAACTACAAAAAAGCTAGAAGTGGAGGTACAGCTCAAGTGGTAAAGCATCAGCTCTGAGGAAAAAAATTAAGGGGAAGTGTCCAGGCCCTGAGTGTACACCAAACCCTTGGTGTATGTATACACACACACACACACACACACACACACACACACACACACGAGTCATGGTGAAGAAATGATTTATTACATGGCATCCATGGGAAAATGGTACTTCAGAACATCTTCAGGAATATAGACATAGTCCTCAGTTAAATAGGGAGAATTGGGGATAGGAATTGAGAAAGGTATATATAGTTGAAACAGTCCATGTTTCAAGTATGGCTAGGTGGGTATGGCCTAGTGGGTGGGTGGTCTGTAGCTTTTGGCTGTTCTCTTCAAGATATAAGAAGTCATTGCCCGACTGTGGGGGAAGTTAGTTTTTTGTCATCAATGCTTATCCCTGAATCTTGTTCTCCTTGGGGCCCAGGGTGATTGGAAAATGATTGTGGGAGGCAAAAATTGGAGGGATGTCCCAATTTAAATTAATTTATAGGCCCAGAAGAAAGCATGCCTTAAGTCACCCCTACAAGGGCACGTTTCTGTGGAACTCACCCTTTTTCTAATCTTCTTTTTGATCCCAGATGCTGACTGCAGTCAATTTGAGGAGAGAAAGCACAGCAAGACAGCCAAGAGTGTGGACCGTGCCTGTAGACCTTGCCGGCTGCTGGCAGGGGCTGCCTTTGGGAGTCTTTTGTTCCTCACCCAATGGATCTTTGGAGAAGTCTCTCTTGTGTCCAGATGGGCAGTGAGTGGTCATCCCCATCCAGGACCAGATCCTAACCCCTTTGGGTGAGTGTGAGTTTGGAAGCCATCAAGAAATCAGCAGTCCTGGCTAAAGGAAGAAACTTGTCCTTTGTAGGCCAGCTACAGCTGTGTTCCCGGGGCATTTACCACCCAATCTCCTCAGAGACCACACAGAAATGATTGTAGACTCTGGAATGGAGGACGAGAATGTCATTTGTTTTGTGTTTATGGATGATGGGAAAGTAGAGGGGGAGAGGGAACTAAGGATTGTGAATAAGAGGTGCTCAAGTGCTAGCAAGGATGCCGTGGGAATTACCACCTGGAAGAGCCTGCTTAGTCAATTACTGATCAAACAAACTGACACTGATCTCAAAAAGGCAGAGACTAACCCAAAGCAATACTAGGTAGAAAATGACAAACTAGGGGCTGAGAAGGTGGCTCAGTGGTAGAGCGCTTGCCTTGCATGCATGAGGCCCTGGGTTCAATTCCTCAGCACCACATTAGCAGAAAAAGCCAGAAGTGGCGCTGGGGATCAAGTTGGTAGAGTACTAACCTTGAGCTGAAGAGCTGAGGGACAGTGCCCAGGCCCAGAGTTTAGGCTATTGATTGAGATTGTGGTCTTTGTTAGAGTTGCTTAATTGTGTCCTATGACCAGTATGACTATAATAATTTAAGGGTGTGAGAGAATTCAATTGTTATGTTTCCCTTGGCCATGAGAGACTGCAGATGCCATTTGGGGTTTACATGATCTCATTGTCTATTTCATATCCAGGTTTCTCTGGGCTTTACCTAGAGGTAGAAAACATACTTTCTATTTCCTATTTGAAATAATGAGAGAGTAACAATGTCAAATGTCTTACAGTATGTTTTCTGAATTTTACCTTATTTCTACAGAGGTGCAGTTCTGCTGGGGTTGGCTGGCGGATTGATGCTTTCAGCTTGTTCGTGGTGTCATGATGCGAGTTTGATCTGGTGGATTACAGGTATATGGCATTTACCTGCAGATGAGCCATCATTGAGATTGGTCATCCATTTACTTGTATGCACAAGCAGTTAGATTGGAAGGAGATATAGCTATAAAAAATAACACAAACTGCACGCATAGCAGCTGCTAAGATTCTTTCCCTTCTTGAAATTCCAAGCTTCTTTGTTTCTAAGAAATGTCCTGTTTTGGATTCTGTTATGATGCTCCATTTTCCTTTCTCAGTTACATGTGACAATTTCACTCCCTATTCATCCATTTCTGGAACCCATGTTTTTGTGAAGGCTCAAGCCATTTCTTCCCAATTATACCTTTTAGAAATACTGGTGAGGGCTGTCATATTTCAGACTGTCCCTTTCAGCATCCTGTTAGTCTTTGTGAACATGAGAGACCCTGATATTATTTTCTTGTGACAGAATTATGCTCCTCCATCTCTTCCTCTTGCCTTTTATTTTTGGCCAGGACTGGGGCTTGAACTCAGGGCTTCAATTGCTTGGCTTTTTCACTCAAGCTGGTGCTCTACCATTTGAGCCATACCTCTATTTCTGGCTTCTTACTGGTTAATTGGAGCTAAGAGTTTTACACACATTTCTGTCTGGGCTCGTTTCAAACAAGATCTTCAGCTCTCAGGCTCCTGGATAATTAAGATTACAGGGTGAGTCATCAGCTCCTGACTCTTTTCCTTTAAAAGGCAGCAACAATTATACAGAAGTCACTGTTGGCATTAATTAAAACCCCCTTCTCTTTTCCAGAGCAATACTACATTCAATGTCTGTGAGGAAAGATGTCCTTATGTATATAATTAAGCAGGTGATTCAGAGTGCTGCCCAGATGCCGTGAGACTGTGGGTATCAGTAATAGGAAACACTGGAAGAAAAACGTAAGAAATACATTTAGGCACACCGTCAGCACCACCATCCTACGTGGGAATGTGGGTGTGATCCAAGCAGGCTGCTCAGCCAGTGGTGCTGGCCAAGTCCTCTTCCTCCTGCAGCTGCATGAGAAAACCGCTGCAGTCACAGTGACCTGTCTTCTTGCTGTATATTATATAGTCTGCATTTCATCTAGAGGGTGGGAGCTGTGAGCCTTATTTCCCACCAGGGAGCTGCTTCAGGAGATTTCTAAGGAAAGGGAACAGATCACGGTCAGTGCCAAGTTTGCAAAGGAGTATCTACAGCTTCTTAATCTACATGCATATGGAAACATGAAATAAGGCAGCAGAGGTTTGTTCTGCATTTATGGCAAGTCTTTGCTTACGGAATATAAGCAAAGTGCTTATTGGACAGGTAATTGGCAGCTCTTTTTTTTCTCAGTGAGGGAAACTTTTGAACTCTATGACAAAGTTAATCTAATAAGATCCTTCATTAAACAATTTATTGTTATGATAAAGGTGATATACAGAAGGATTACAGTTATATAAGTGACCCTTCCCTCGCTTTCTCCCAGTTTTGGCTGTTCTTTTTTAAAAACATAGGAAGAGTTACAAGCTACCACCTGGATAGGGGCACATGCCCCATTGCCCTGTATTACCCCTCTCCTGGGGTGGCATGGCCCCACTAATAAACCTTCTTATAAACCTTAAAACACACACACACACACACACACACACACACACACACACACACACACAAACACAAACAGGAGAACTAAGGAGCAAAACCACAGAATTTTAAAGAATAGAAAAGCTATGAATTTATAATCTTGAACACATTTTTCTAATTAGGGCCATATCCTTGAGAGTCAAACCCTCGTTTTGCTTACTCTTTGAAGTATTGAGTAGTAGGGGTTTTTGTTTTTTGTTGTTTGTGGGGCTTGAACTCTGGCCCTGGGCACTGTCTCTCAGCCCTTCAGCTCAAGGCTAGAACTCTACCACTTAAGCCACAGTGCCACTTCTGATTTTCTGGTGGTTAATTGGAGATGAGAGTCTCGCGGACTTTCCTGCCAGGGCTGGCTTTGAATGGGATCCTCAGATCTCAGCCTCCTGAGCAGTAAGGATTATAGGTGTGAGCCACTGGCGCCTGGCCTTGAGTAGTAGTTTTAAAGACCTTTTTTTGGTGTGTGGTACTGCGACCTGAACTCCCAGGGCCTTGAGTTTACTAGGCTGGTGCGCTACCCCTTCAGCCATGCTCCCCATCCTCCATATTTTTGTTTTTTGAACAGGCTCTTGCTTTTTATCTGGTACTGGCCTTGATCATGATCCTATTTATGTTTCCTTTGTAGCTGGCACATATCACAACATCCAGATTTTCGTTTAAGTGGTTGAGATGATATCTTGCTAACATCATTTTTCTTAGGCTGCCCTTGAACCAGGATCTTTTCTTTCTAATCCTCAGGATTACAAGCATAACTTTAAGGGCAGAACTTTTTTTTTTGTCAGTCGTGGGGCTTGAACTCTGGGCCTGGGCGCTGTCCCTCAGCTCTTCAGCTCTAGGCTAGCGCTCTACCACTTGAACCACAGCGCCACTTTCGTATTTTTCTGCTTATGTGGTGCTGAAGAATCGAACCCAGGGCCTCACGCATGTAAGGCAAGAACTCTACCACTGAGCCACCTTTCCAGCCCCTAAGGGCAGAACTTTAAGGGAAACAAATTTAAAGTTTCTAGTAGGCTATGTGTGATAGGGAAAATTAGAGCTAAAATTCAGCCACAATTCACCTCTCATTCTGATATTCCCCTCACCATGAATTGGAGATCACACTTATCTGGAGATAGTGCTCACTTTTCACTGTGTTTTACCTCTGGAAACTCTTGATAAAGCCAAGTACAGAGAAATGAATCCTATTTTCTCATTGTACATTTAAGCTTACATACCCAACTGTGGACTCACAAGAAATTAATTATGACAGTGACCAAAGAATTTCAGAAAAACAAAGAGCTGGGTACTGGTGACTCACACCTGTAGTCCTAGCTACTCAGGAACTGAAATCTGAGGAGCGCAGTTTGAAGCTGGCCCTTGCCAGAAAGTCCATGAGACCCTTATCTCCAAGAAATTACCCCCAAAAAGCTGGAAGAGGGAATGGAGCTATGGCTCAAGCTGAGTTTAAGCCCAGGACTGGTACCAAAAGCAAACCCAGGACTCCCCCCAAATCCAAACTTCCAAAGATAGAGCAGCTTTAAGTTTTGATAGCAACTAAATTAGTAATATCAAAGTCTTATTAGAAAAATAGATGCAGATGTAATAAAAAAAACACTGATAGGGCCTCAGTGTACTAAGTACAATTTTATCATCTGAAAATTTTCACCTATTAATTAACACATCAATTCTTTCGTCTTTCTCTCCTTCCCTCCTCTATGCATGGGGGTTTAGACACAGGACCTCCAGCTCCCTAGTTGCTCTATCACTTGAGCCATAATCCCAACCCTTTCTTGTTTAGTTATCTTTCATTTAGGGTCTCCATTTTTTGCCTGGGTCAGGACTGAACTGTGATCCTCCTATTTACCCCTCCTCAGTGCCTAGGAGGGGCATGCACCACTATGCCTGGCTTGTTTATGAGACAATGTTTTGTTAATTTTTTGTGTAAGTTGACCTTAAACGGAGACCAAACTATCTCTGCCTCCTAAATCGCTAGAATTAGAGGCATGTGTCACTATGCCCAACCAACATGGAAGTTGGTATATGTGTTATTGGAATATTGATTACCATGGATTCTTGATATCTCACAAGTGAGTATTTAGAAGAGATTGTTTGGAAGAGTTCAGTGTCAAGCACCAAGGTATACAGTTAAATTTAGGGAAAATTTTGGTAAAAGTGACTATGGTATGTATCATATCCTACCAGAGGTACACAAAAAGGGAGAGAAATATGTAAGCATCTATATTTCTTTATATACACAGAAAATCCCCGGGAAGACTCAGAATGAGTCTAACACAGTTTTCCTTTTCGTAAGGGACTTAGTGAATGGCAAGATTCAGAAAAATCTCTTTTGTACCATTAAAAAAAATATTATCCTCGGAGCTGGGCACTGGTGGCTCATGCCTATAATTCTAGCTACTCAGGAGGCTGAGATTTAAAGATTCTGATTTGAAGCCAGTTTGGGCAGTAAGTCTTTGAGACACTTATCTCCAGTTAACCACCAAAAAACTGGAAGCAAAGCTGTGGCTAAAAGTGGTAGAACAGCCTTGAGCAAAAAATCTCAGGGACAGTGCCCAGACCCTGAGTTCAAGCCCCACAACTGAAAAAAATATCCTTAGAATATATTGCTTGCTTAAAATATAATTTTAGCTTAAAAATACAGAAACTGCTTTAAAAACAGAAATTAAATTTAAAAAATGGAAGCAATAATCTCTGAGAGAAATTTAATAATGATTTATTTTCCCTCTGCATAATTCTTTGTAGTAAAGAAAATCATTTTAGCATTTTCAGATTAGAAGAGCATATTAGGATTCATTTCTTTAAAAACAAAATTGTCACCATAAGCCACTAAATGTGGAAAATTCAATCTCATTAAGAATCAGTGAGAGCTATTTAAAGTATCATTCAATTTTCATCAATTTGATAATGAAGTTTAGAAAGAAATGGTTTTGGCAGTTTCAAAGGTATGGTCACTTCCCCAAGTTTTCTGGATATGGAAATGACTGCAATCACTTTCCAAAACAGCACTCACAAGTAATAACTTGAAGCTGTTTGAGGTAAGTAATTAAAGATGTGGAAGAGATTTATAGATAAACAAAGGTGCAGATTGCATAGTCCCAACACCTAGCAAGGTGTTAAGAAATGAAGAGAATAATGAATACTGATGGCTTCTTCTATCATCCTAGCTACTCAGGAGGCTGAGATCTGAGGATCAAGGTTTGAAACCAGCCTAGGCTGGAAAGCTGGTGCAACTCAACCAGCAAAAACCCTGAAGTGGAGATGTAGCTTAAGTAGTAGAGATTTCTTTTCTTTTCGTTTCATTTCATTTCTTTTTCCCTTTAGCAAAATGCTAAGAGATGAAACTCAGGGCTTGAGTTCAAACCTAGTAACAGTCCCCCCTCCCACACACACAAAAGAAAGGAAAGGGAATAAAAGGAAAGGAAAGGAAAGAACTTACTGCAGAGTTGCTAAAGTACCAAGTGCACTGTGGCTATCTCAGTCATACCTTCTTTTGCAGCTGTTGGGAGAGTAAATGTGCATATTACAGGACAAGGTGTGGCATTTAGATGGGCAGAAATTACTTTAGAAGGTGCCTTCATAGAACATTATAGAAATCACACTGGCTATATGTTTTCTACTATCTGGCTGGTTATGTTTAATAAATATACATTTGGTATTGCAAATTAATTTGTTTTTTTTTATTGATGCTACAACTGTAACATTGGTCATCTCAAGACCCTTCTTCTCTCCCCTCCCTCCCTTTCCTTCCCAGAGAATTAGCATTGGCCTGAGTTTTACTGCATTCTACTTTCCAGCTGGGCCTGTGACTGGTCTGCTGATGCTGGGCAAATCACATTAACCAAGGTAGACTTTGGTTTTCTCAGGGGTCTGCAGATTGAAACAGATACTGCTAAGGTCCCTTCTACACATTGGTCATCCTATGAACTACTGCTCTCTTGTCTCTCTCATTCATTCTTTTTTTTTGCCTCATAAACAGGAGCGGCTTCAGCTGCGGGTCTCCTTTACCTGCGCACATGGGCAGCGGCGGTGTCCGGCTGTGTGTTGGCCATCTTCACTGGGTCCATGTGGCCTCAAGTACTGGGGCACCTGATTAGCTCAGGGACAAGCCCTGGGGAAACCATGACTAGTGCCATGTTAGTGTATGTTCTAGAAATCGTTTTTTGTGCCTGGTGCACAGCCTTTAAGTTTGTCCCGGGAGGTGTCTACGCTAGAGAAAGATCTGATGTGCTTCTAGGTGAGTACATTTCAAAGGTCTGTGTTAAAGAAACTGATCAAAAATATTCCTAAGAAATGGCCAGTGTTGAGCACTAACAGAATCAACAGGGTGATCCTGGTGAAGAAATAAAACCTGGAAGGATGTCTGAATGATAATTCAAAACAAATTTCTTAATTCATTAGTGCATTACAATAATGTTTGCCACTCTAAAGGCCTTTAAATGAATTAGTTATGAAAGATGTTTAATCATTAATAAGGACTAAAGCATAAACTGGGTAACACATAATGTTAGGAAAGGGCATGATTTTGATGTCTGTCATAAATACACATAGTGATGGGGACAATGTTGGAAGGGGGGACATTGATCAAGATGCACTGTACTTTTAATCTGATTTGTATTGAAACTCTTTTGTACAACTACTTAAAAAAAAGCTGAGTACTCGTGGTTCATGCCTGTAATCCTAGCTACTCAGGAGACTGATATCTGAGGATTATGGTTTAAAGCCAGCCTGGGCAGGAAAGTCTGTGACACTATCTCCAATGAACCACCGAAAGGCTGGAAGAGGTGCTGTGGCTCAAGTGTTAGAGCCCTAGCCTTAAGCAGAAAAGCTTAGGGACAGGACAGCGCCCGCATGCTAAAATCAAGCCCAGGACTAGCACACACAAAAATAAATAAATACACAGAGGGGGGTTAGTTTTATCAGTGACTTTTATTTAGCATAGTTGTACTAATAAAGTATATTAGATGAACAATAAATTTCCAAATCAAGGAATTAAACACATTTTTCACTTCCTTGGTTATATAGTCATCATTATTAAGATGCCATCAACTTTCCTCAGTTTAAAATTTAAAAAATAATAATCCTTTGTCCATAATGAAATTATGAACGTATATCAGGTATATACGAATTAAGTACTGTCAGTAACTTTTGAAGTTTAAGTACTATCATCATATCATTCTTCAGTAGCATCCTAGAAAATGAGGAGATGATAACACTAAAAGAACATTCAGTCCTTACCTATGCATTCAGTAGCCCAGTTGCTTGCTTATTTGTTAAAAAAAAAAAAAAAGACGAAAAAGAAAAAAAGGTCATGCATCCTCTCTCATTCCTGGCCCATGGAATGATAGACAGGCTGCTTTGGAAGATGTGTCTTTAATCACATGTGATATTTTAGAAACAACTTCACTGGATTTGAGATTTCTGGGCAGTGCCCAAGCTCCTGTCTAGTGTGAGATGTGCACTTAGCTGTCTTTCCTCAGTAGTAGCTTGCTTTGCAAATGTTGGCTTTTCTTCTGCTGTCTTTCAGGTGGCTGTACTCTGCTCTGTGCTACTTTCCTGTCTCATGCCCTGCTTTTTTTCCAGCTTGCTTAGGGGTCTGCCAGGTGAAGAAAATGAATGAAAGTAAGAGCTGTTTTGTGTGTAAATTTGTGTCTTTAGAATGCCATGACTAAGGAGCTGTTGAGTTCCTCTCTGACCGCGTGAAGAACTGTAGGAAGCATGCAGTGTTACTGTTTAACAGAAATAGAGTGGTGTTCTGTTGATGATGCCCAAAGGCCAACAAATGTTTTAACGTTCAGAGCAGCTGTTAATTCAACTGAATTGAAAATCAGTACTAATCAGAGATAAGGACAAATTTATTTTCTAAGTTTTGCTATTTTCTGAAAAATTGGACGTGACTTTTTTTTTTTTTGCCAGTGCCAGGGGCTTGAACTCAGGGTCTTACACTTTTGCTCAACTTTTTCACTCACAGCTGGTGCTCTACCACTTGAGCCATGCCTCCTGTTTGCATTTTGCTGGTTAATTCAAGATAGAATCTGCCTAATCTGGCTTCAATCCAAGATCTTCAGCTCTCAGCATCCTGAGTAGCTGGAATGACAGGTGTGAGCCATCACCACTGGATATCTATATCTATAAATTTGGGCTTATATTTCAATTTGATTACATTATGAATTGATATACATATTGTGCCATATTTCGACTTACATTTTTATGAATGATTTAAAAAATATGCAAGCTATAGATATGCTACTTTCTAGTGCTTCCAAAGATAACTCAACTTTCTTGGCTGGCCTATGGGCATTCTGAAATTTCTGGCCTGAATCCTTTGCCAGTACCACATACCCAGAGAACTATGTCCTAAGCACATTTGTTGCCATAGTTACACAACTTGTGTACTATTGCAGTCCTCAACTTGGTGCATTTGTGGGCTCTTTAGTAGCAAAGGTTGATTCTCTATGGAAGTTCAGAAGGTTCTTTTCTTTTGTGCTCTGTTGTGCCTTTCTCTCAAATGCCATCAGCATCCCAACAACCAGGAAACAGGAAATTTGAGGCCATTCGTTGCCAGGAAAAGGCTAGCTAGAATTTCTAAAGTGGTTCCTCCTAGACCCTTCCCTCATTTCTTATGCATGTCCCTGTTAGCCAAAGTCTACTAGAGTAATTGCTTAGGGGCTGAGTAATTCAATAATTGAATCGCCTAGGTGTGTTCAATTGAAAAGAAATCCTGACTCTTGAATTTACCACTGGAAGAATTTTTGGATTAAACTAGACTACATTCTCACTTTCTTAACAGGGACGGTGATGCTAATTATTGGGTTGAGTATGCTATTTGGTCCTAAGAAAAACCTTGACTTACTTCTTCAAACAAAAAACAGTTCTAAAGTGCTTTTCAGGAAGAGTGACAAATACATGAAACTTTGTAAGTATAGCCTTTTCTCAACTAAGAGCTAGGTGTGGCATGCACCTTATTATTTCAGCTATTACAGGAAGCATAAAATTGGTGGATTATGGCCCAGGCACATATCCAGGAAGAAAATTAGGCCTTATCTGAAAACCTGCCAATGGAAAAAAGGATAGATGTGTGGTTCAGTGGGAAGGGGGCCTGTCTAGCAAGCATGAGATCCTGAATTCAAACCCGAGTACTGACCCAAAATTTATTTATTTATTTGTATGTAGAAAGGGTCTCGCTATTTGGCCAATGCTGCCTTTGAACTTGTGGCTTTGACTTCTTGAGTGGCTAGGATTACAGTCATGCAGTTCCATACCTTATATTCTGACTCTTAAAGTTCCCATGTCTAAAGCTAATGAAATTTATTCACATGTTATTTTTCCTGATCATGGAGGTTTGTTTCATGTTTTAGAATTTATTTTTAAGTGCAAGGCTCTCAGAACATGTTCAGGCATGTTTTTTGACATCTGTATGAAGTATGTATGTAGGTGATCCATGATAATTAACTTGCAAATTAGACATTCATAGACAAGCTCATTAGATTCAGTAATTCTGGGAACCAAATTTTCTTTTGTATATTTTTTCTTTCCGTTTAGTTTTGTGGCTGCTTGTCGGTGTGGGATTATTGGGATTAGGACTTCGGCATGAAGCCTATGAGAAGAAATTAGGCAAGAGGGTAAGTAATTGAATTGTTTGAAATGGAATTTTATAATACACACGTAAACATATATGTATTTTTACACATCACTCTTCTGATTGAATGCTAGACCTAGAGAGAATGACTATCTAGGATCCCATCTGATATTGTAATAACAACTGTTAAAGAGCCCAAGAAAGAGATCATGATCTCTTTATCACTATTAATGAAAAGAAGAAAAAAGTTAAATGGCTTCTCTTGTTCATCTCTGTAGCTATTGAAGGCATGGCATATCCTCAGGACTCAGTAAGTGTATAGCTATTTCTTCATTATGTCTATTAGAAAAGAATAACTGATGTCATATCAGTCAGGAACTGTTTTAGGAAGGAGTCATTTGAAGTGAATGTGACACTGGTTCATTCATTCATTGGTTCATTATGTGACAAATGTTTATTGGATGTCTCTTGATACAAGATCCCTGCTGCCCAGGAATTTGTGTTCTAGTAGTGCTAGACAGTATTCAGAGGCACAAATAAAGACTGTAACTTTTTTTTTTTTGTTGGTCGTGGGGCTTGAACTCTGGGCCTGAACGCTGTTCCTCAGCTCTTCAGCTCAAGGCTAGCGCTCTACCACTTGAGCTACAGCGCCACTTCCAAGACTATAAGTCCAATGACTGTGTAGGAAATAGGATTACAAGGTGGAAAGTGATGTGGTCGTTAGTGGAGGCCACTGAGGAGGTGATATTTCAAAGAGAGAACAGGCTCGCTGTTCAGACAGCTGGGATCCAGAGGAAATGTGAATGAAGAATGGAGGGATAACCATTTAATGTCTGAGGTGTATCAGAGTGACTGGCGTGGCTGGAGTTTGGTGGAGTGGTAGAAGATGAAGTTGGAAAGGCTGTGGAAGGCAACATCATACAGGGCCTCAGAGACCACAGTGAAGTGCTCTCATTTCATGTATACTTATGGCTGAAGCCAGAGGGAAATGTCTGAAATGAAAGCAGAGAAAATGATGATCTATTTGGCTGCTGAAGGAAGACTGGCTTGTAGGGGGACATTGAAGGAGAATAGGAGTGGTGGAAGGGAGTTCTGTGTCTTTTTTTAGTGGTTCAAGGGAAAAGAGAATGGTGATTTTGATTGGTGGGGGGCCAGTGGAGTTGGAGAGAAAGTGGAAGGGTTCAGACTCTATTTTGAAAGTAGAGCTGATATGACTAATGAGTGAGTTGGATGTTGCTGAATCAGGAAAGAGATGAAACCCATGCTTTTGGCTTGAACTCCTGCAAGGGAGAAGATGTCACTTTCTAAGGTGATAGCTTATGAGAAAGGATAGCTTGATGGATACCATTCTCTGTTCATGACATTGACTGAAGTCCATAATCCTTCTTGTATAATGATGAAACACTGGTAGAATTTTTTAAACGCAAAGATGTTACCATTTCCTTTTCCAGGCCTGAAACTGTACAGTCCAGTTTGAGTTGGGTTTTTTGAGTAGTAATTAGTGGAGATTCATTTTGATTTTTTTTTTTTTTTGGTCATGAAGCCTGAACTCTGGGCCTGGGCTCTGTCCCGCAGCTCTTCAGCTCAAGACTACCACTCTACCACTTGAACCACAGTGCCATTTCCAGCTCTTTTTTGTTATATGGTGCTGAGGAATCGAGCCCAGGGCCTCTTGCATACAAGGCAAGCACTCTTCCACTGAGCCACCTTCCCAGGCCTAGAGATTCATTTTGAGAGGATGTTTAGGGTTGGGCAGTGCAGTCTCTGACTAACTTTTGGGCTGTGAGGAGCTGTAAAAAGGGGTTGTGCTTGTGGACCTTGGGCTTGCCAGTATGGTAAGCAGTGCCACTCTGGAATAGACTGATCACTTTATAAATATGGCAAAGGCCTCTCTACATCCCTCTACAACTGACATATACCTTGCAAGGTAACCATTCTTAAGATAGCATAGTTTAACAATGATCATTTTCATGCTTTTCTGTACATTATTATTACCCGAGATAGATTTCCTATTTCCCTGTTTCCATATTTTTAACTTTCTCTAAATGATATCCAGCATGTATTTTGCAACTTGCTTTTTTTTAAAAAAAAACTATAATCCTCTCTGGGATATTCATCCACGTGGATGAATCTCATTTATTAGGGCTGTGTAGTGTTCTATTGTATGTACCATCCTTTGTTGATTTTTTTCTTGATGGACATCCAGGTTGTTTCTAACTTTTTTTGGTATTATAAGCATGGCTTATTATAAATATTCATTTTCCCAACATTCCCATGTACTTTTAAGCTCTAAAATTCACAGAAAATGTGTTATGACCTTATAGCAATTCATCATTTTAATGAGTTAAATGTAGACAAATGTGAAGAAATTCTTTCACTGAAATAAGAATTTTGGTAGAGAGGTAGAAAAGCTAATTCTCTGGAAGGCTCATTGTTCACTATTCTCCTAAATTCCCATTAAAATGATTTCTCAGGCACCAGCCAAAGAGTTCTCTGCTGCTATCTGGCCTTTCAGATTTGGATATGACAATGAAGGATGGTGTAGTCTAGAAAGATCGGCTCAGCTGCTCAGTGAGACAGGTAAGTCTTTCTAGAATTTGTTCTAAGCAAGATCATAGAAGAAGGGATTACCAGATTATATACTTTGGAGGCTTTGATGGGTGGAACCACATCTGTCTTTTTTCCCTCTTTCCCTCCACCCCCCCCATCTGTCTTTAAGAGCAATTAATCCAGTTGCTTCTGAAGAAAACTTAGTGCTGGGTATCTGCAGGAGACGAGTCAGGCCCTTGTTGGAGCTGCTCCTGCTGGCAGCTGGTCACCTGGTCACTGCTGGGACCAGGCAATCTCTGGATTAAAATGGTCAAAAGTATGGAACAGACAAAACATGGGCTGTAGTCTTTGTTCGCATTCCAATCGGGGGGCGACTCTCCCCACCCACAGAGGCTGGGGACTTCTTCCTCATGAAACCGTTAGACCAGCTTCCCCTCCATCTGCCCAAGATTGTCCCATGTACAAAAGAAGATAATAATGAAGCAACCAACATGTCACAAAGATCTAACTGTTCCCACCAATACGTCAGCTGTAAGGTTTTCAGGTAAGGCCTGGGAAGACTTCATGGAGCATCAAAGAGGAAAATGAGACTGTGGCTACAAAAAGGAAAAAAAAAAGGACATTTAAATGAGGTAGATAAATGGAAGCTAGCCTACCCAGTTTTGTCCCTGCCATACTGCACCTGACTTTAGGGGCCCAAAAGATAGTTTCTTGTGAAGTCATGCCTTTCCTTCTGGAATTGTAAGCATTCCCAATATTGGGCTCACCTGTTTCCTTTGTGAAGTGAGCATCCTTTTAGGGGACCTACCACCCTGCGGCGCTCATCACTGCGGAGCTGAGCACACCTCAGTTTTGTACCTGCTGATGCTGCTGGAAAATAAATTTTGAATGCTTCACTACCAAAAAAAAGGTCAAAAGTTAGGGTGATTTGTGAAGAAACTTGGTTTTAAGAGTCCCAGGACCAACTTTGTTTTTGTACCCTAAGATACTCATCTTTGTATAAAGCATCCTTTCAAACATCAGAGAATTTGCTTCTTGCTGCATGGAGTTTGCAGCAGGATAACTGAGGGCTACATCGTTCCTGGTGATGGCATTGCTCTTGTAGAAATTTCTGAGTTTCTCTAGGAACATAATGCCACAAACATTTTTTCTGGCCCTTGGTCCTTTTTATATCTTGATTGTAAGCCTCTTGATTATAAGCATCAGGCCAAAGTCTAAAGAAGTCAATAAATTTACTTCCAGTGGAAACACTACAGAGCTGTTCACCTTGGAATAAAACGCTACTCTGTGCCTTTTTATTGTTAGAAACAATACATGTTGGAATAAATTAGGTCTTTGTGAAAGACATTGATACTACTTGAAATGGGGGTGGGGAAGATGCTCAAATATGCTTTCATTCTTCCCAATATTTGCTCAAGGTGTTCTGTGTTTTAATTGCATTCCAAACACAGGAAACTTGCCTTTAGAGCTCAGATTTGAACCACTTCCCTGTTGTGACTTATAAAGGAGTTACTTTGTTTGAGGTTTATGAGTAAAGGGAAAAAGGTTAAGGATGAGAATAAAGGGAGGGCTTGGTTTAACCACCTGCCTTCCAAGCACAGGGTCCCAAGTTGGAACTCCAGTACTGTCTAAAGAAAAAAGGTAAGGGAAATAAAATAAAATTTCCAGTTATACATCTCAATTCTGTGTGTTTAATTAAGGTCTGGTGTTAGTATTACCTCTTTGGGATTATATGATTGAGAAATGAACTAAAACAAACATGAAAAAGTTAATTTAATGGCATACCATACTGGAAATCTGAAGAGTGACACCAGGGTTAAATTCCAATTCTTGTTCTACTTCTTTTAAAAAATGATCAATATGCACATGAGTCATTTAAATATACTAGATTACTGGTGTGTTATTATAGCTTTTCTTTCTGATTTGTCAGGCATAGTTTGGCAGCACAAAAACACATTCAATAAAAAAATGAGTATATTGAAAAAAATAAGAGGGCTGGGAAGGTGGCTCAGTGGTAGAGCGCTTGCCTTGCATGCCTGAGGCCCTGGGTTCGATTCCCCAGCACCACATAAGCAAAAAGAAAAAAGTCGGAAGTGGCACTGTGGCTCAAGTGGTAGAGCGTAGCCTTGAGCTGAAGAGCTGAGGGACAGTGCCCAGGCCCAGAGTTCAGGCCCCACGACCGGACCAAAAAAAAATGAAAAAATAAGAATAAATATTTGCCAGGTGTGATGATTCAGGCCTATAATCCTAACACTTGGGAAAAATGAGGCAGGAGATCATGAGTTTAAAGCCTGTATGGGCTACAAAGTAAGGTTCTATCTCAATAAAACAACATTTATTTTATTTTGTCAGTCGTGGGCTTGGACTCAGAGCCTGGATGCTGTCCCTGAGCAGCTCTTTCCTTCAAGCCTAGTTCTCTACTGCTTTGAGCCACAGCTCCACTTCTGTTTTTCTGGAGATAAGAATCTCACAAAACTTTCCTGGCTTTGAACCACAATCCTCAGATCTCAGCCTCCTCAGTAGCTAGGATTACAGGCGTGAGCCAACAGCATCCAGCAACAAGTTATTTTCTGCTATTTTCATTTCTGATTTCTTTTTTTTATTAATAAGTTTTTTTATTGTAAAAATACCATATAGAGGAGTTACAATTACATGAGCAAGGTAATGAGTACATTTCTTATCAAACATTGTTGCCTCCTCCTTTGTTTCCCTTTACCATCCCTGCCCTCCCAGCCCCCCCCCCACCAAATTGTAAAGTTCGGTTTTTGACATAGTGTCTTGGTACCTCTCATTGTTGCAATGGCTCCAGCTGTATCCCTATTTATACAATTTGTTTTTTCCCTTCCCCTCCACAAATTATACCAACATCAAATACAGTGAAAACAGGGGTTATACCATTGGGGAGGGACATAAAAAGCAACAAAGAAATCACCTTATAAATACGTTAGAAACAATAGCAAGAAAGAAAAACCATTTGAGTCCTTATCTTGGGGTTCATTTCGCCTAACCTTAACTTATCTGACCATTTCTGCTTATCTCAGACATATACTACTTATTGCAAATAAGGGAAACCATGGGACCTATGTTTCTTTGGGCCTGCCTTACTTCACTTAATATAATTTTTTCCAAGTGGTTCCATTTCCTAACAAATGAGGCAATGTCATTCTTTCTGATGGAGGCATAGATGTGTGTGTGTGTGTGTGTGTGTGTGTGTGTGTGTGTATCTCACATTTTCTTGATCCATTCATCTACTGAGGGGCATCTGGGTTGGTTCCAGATCTTAGCTATGGTAAATAATGCTGCAATAAACATAGTTGTGCTGGTAGCTTTAGTGTGGTCTTGTTTGTAAACATTTGGGTAAATGCCCAAAAGTGGGATTGCTGGGTCATAGGGGAGCTCTATGTGGAGTCTTTTGAGGAACCTCCATACTACTTTCCAAAGTGGTTCCCTTCTGGCCACATCCCCTCTGATTTCTTTTCTTTTCCTTTCTTTCTTTCTTTTCTTCCTTCCTTCCTTTCTCTCTCTCTCTTTCTTTCTTTTTGTCAGTCATGGGGCTTGAACTCTGGGCTTGGGCGCTGTCCTTGAACTCTTCAGCTCAAGATTAGTACTCTACCACTTGAGCCACAGTGTCACTTCCAGTTTTCTGGTAGTTAATTGGAGATAAGAGTCTCCTGCCAGGGCTGGCTTTGAATCATGATCCTCAGATCTCAGCCTCCCGAGTAGCTAAGATTACAGGTGTGAGCCATTTCTACATTTTAAAAATTGTATGTTTTTCCCCCTTTTAAATCAGGTGCAGATTTTATAACAATTTTGGAGAGTGATGCTTCTAAGCCCTACATGGGAAACAATGACTTGACCATGTGGCTTGGGGAGAAGCTGGGTTTCTATACAGACTTTGGCCCAAGCACAAGGGATCACACTTGGGGGTGAGTATACCTTGAACCAGGCTTGAGCATGGTCACGAAAGAGTGGCTCAGGATTGGAGTAGAGAGCAGAGATGATCATCTTCATCCTGTCACGGTGTCCACTCCATGCTTCTTGGGAAATGGGAAGGCGCTGGGACTATGCATATACCTTAATTTTTAAAGCAGGTTTCCTGTTGCTGGTTATTTCTAATTGAGGTAACAGCAGCAGGCCTATCTGACCTACTGCTGTCCTCAGAGAGCTTAGGATCAAGTGTAAAAAACCAGGAGGGGCTGGGAAGGTGGCTAAGTGGTAGAGCGCTTGCCTTGCATGCATGAGGCCCTGGGTTCGATTCCTCAGCACCACATAAGCAAAAAGAAAAAAGCCGGAAGTGGTACTGTGGCTCAAGTGGTGGAGCCCTAGCCTTGAGCTGAAGAGCTGAGGGACAGCGCCCAGGCCCAGAGTTCAGGCCCCATGACCGGACCCCCCCCCAAAAAAACACAGGAATTCACTTGACCTCCATATGCATAGATTATTTATTCTGGATTCTACTGGCCTCAGATGGAAACTATCTGGGAAAAAAATGCCCGGCAAGTTCCACAAAGCAAAAGTTGAATTTCCCACACAACGATTATTCCATTAATAGTAGAACCAGTTATGCAGATGTTGGCAGTACATTCCCAGTGCTTCATTCTCATGCTCCCAAGCACTTACTAAAACAAACTTGATGGTGTGCTGAGCACCGCAGCAACACATGCTAACTGTGATGTGCAGTGAGCTGACGAGCGGACTGCCCCGTGTTTCTGCCACATTCCTGCTCTGGATGCAATTAGGGAAAGGCTGTGTGTGTCATGGCAATTTCTAATGTGTTTTCTTTGTCCTGGCTGGAGGACATGATGGGGCTCATGTAGTTTCTTCTCATTCCCTTACAGGATTATGGTGCTGTCCAGATACCCAATTGTGAAATCAGAGCATCACCTTCTTCCGTCACCAGAGGGCGAGATTGCACCAGCCATAACCCTGACTGTTAACATCTCAGACAGACTGGTGGACTTTGTTGTGACACATTTTGGGAATCACGAGTGGGTGTCTTTGGTTTACTTAAGATTACAACTACTTAAAGATAATAGTAATAATAGTAATGTAAATTAAAAAATAATATATAAATGCTAAGAAATATTAGCATATAACTTCATTTTTTAATGATAATTTTTCTTAGATACTTCTTTTCTAACCTTCAAATGATTGTTTTCCCACATTGTAACCATCAGACATAGGAGTCTTTGAGATGCAGGCAGAGATGTGCAGTGCGGGGCTGAGGGAGCCCACAGTTATTGGCTTGTGTAGTCTGTCTCTGTGTGGGTGATACACCAAGTTCATTTCTGCATGCAATCTTCAATCTGTAAAGAGCAAGTACCATTATTGCCCCATTTTACAGATGAATACAAGTGGAAGAGAGCAGTTAGGTGACTTGATAGGATCTGAGTCACTATTTACTGAGGAATCAGGAAATTAAAATTTAATACATAAATTTAATACATAAATGATTTGGACAATAGGGTATCAGTGCTCCTATGGACATGCTAACACATTCCCCAGCAACGCACGGGACATATAAACCTGCCGGCCCTGCCAGCTCCTCTGTGTGGGTGGAAAGAATGGGACAGAAAATACTCTTGCTTGGAAATGGATAGATCCAAGGAAAAGAGAGAGGGAAAGGTTTGAGAGAAGCCATGTCTAGCTAATGCTTCCCAACTGAATCAATTAGGAAAGTGCTCCCTAGTAATAAAGACGGGAAGAGAGACCCGTGATGGTTTTCTAAGTCAATTCCTCTACAGGGAACATGGAGAAATGAAGAAAGAGTTGTATCTCCAAGAACAATCATAAGCACTGACTTAGTACTGACCAGTTCCTTACTAATTGCAACCAAGCCACTACGATATGGTAAAAGCAAAACTAAAAGTATACAATTTATACTCTGCAACATGAAACAAGATGTTAGGTTCTATGTGCTACAAAATAAGCACCAAGCTCCTGCCCACCTTAGTGACAGAAGAGGTCACAGGACTATAAAGTGACTAACAGAATATTAGAAAGACAACAATGGCCTGTGTCTTCTAATCAACAATGGCCTGTGTCTGTTACCTTATTGTTTTGGTTATTTCTGTTTTTCTCACACTAATATTGATCTGTGAAAGCATACTGAATATTTTTCTGAAAGAAGATAGAGTATTAGCCATACAAAAAAACCATCTAAATCTGAAAAAAAATCTTTATGACTCATTATCAGACTCATACCTCTTTACAAAAAAAGAGTGAGCTGGAAGACAGCTGCTATTGATGGTCCGTATATATTTTTCTGTTGCTAGACACTGGTTGCCTCTCTGATTCCTGTTTAGCTTTCAATTACCTAGGTAACTAATTCCCTATATTGAATTCACTTGGAAACATCTGGAGCATTTCAGTTTTCTTGGCTGGATCATGTCAAATATGATGACCTATTTTCTACCAAATGGATTGTAAGTCTCCCAAAAGCTTGAAGTATCTGACTAATTATCCTTTTTATGTCTATAGTAATTAGTGTAATAAAAGCAACATGTCCAAACAGTGCTTACATAGAAGCCAAGGAGGCTTTCAAAAACAAAATGTTCAAGTTGGGTGATGGTGGCTCACACCTGTAGTCTTAGTTACTTAGGAAGCTGAGATCTGGGGATTTCAAAGCCAGCCCAGGCTGGAAAGTCTGTGAGACTCTTACCTTCAACAAACTACTCAGAAAAAGCCAAGAAGTGGCACGGTGGCTCAGTGGTAGCCTTGAGCAAAAGAAGCTCAGAGCAAGCCCAGGCCCTGAATTCAAACCCCAGGACCAGCACGCGCACGTGCGCGCGCGCGCGCGCGCGCACACACACACACACACACACACACACAGAGTTCAACTGAAGGAGCTGTGTAGATTACGTAAGTCTGGTGTGCTCTGTAATTGTTAGGATTTTCCTTCTTACTAGTATTCTGACCTCTTCTGTTTGACAGTTCCTTAACTATAATACTGCTTCAATTGAACAGTTGGACAAGCACTTTATTTAGAATAGTTAATTTAACTTGAATCCAAATTATTTGTGGAGAAAGACCATGCTGTTCTGACTCAGTAGTCACTCTCAGTTCAAGCACTCTATGCTTTATTTGTTGCATAATTTTAAAACATTTGGCCAGATAAGAATTGCTTTGGGTTGGTACCCTGAAGATATTCTTTGGGAAACTTAGTTACCTAAGGGTTAGTAAAAATGGTTTTACAACTATAATAGAGTACATTTTTGCATTTTTTTTAGAGATGACCTTGACAGGAAACTGCAGGCTATCACTGTTTCAAAACTACTGAGAAATTGTTCGCATCAAGTGGTATTTTTGGGCTATGTCACTTCAGCACCTGGTTCCAGAGATTACATACAGCTCACAGAACATGGCAATGTGAAGGTAACATACTCTTAATAGGATTTCTGGTTGATTAAATAATCTGCCACTTTTTTACACACCCCACCCCTCCACAGCCTAACAGCATATAATCTGATTATCCACTGCTACATGAAAACCATCACAAAACATATGCTGATTTAAAACATCAGCAATCTGTACTTTGGACAGGGCTCAGTGTGGTGCTCACCTGACACTGCCATTATGAACAGATCACAGGTGGTAGGCAGGTGATTTAGGCTTGAGACCATGGTTTCTTTCTCAAGGTATTTGAGCATCCTCCCCTCAGGGTGGCTGGGTTCTAAGAGTGAACATTCCAGAAAATAAAGAAGAACGTGCATTGTTCTGTCTGACCTAGCTCTCTACATCATTTAGTATTGTTGCTCTTTCCATCACCCAGTATAATCACATTCAACTGGAAAAAAAAAACCCATAAACCTCATCTCTTGTTGTGCGGAGTCTCATCAATTCATCAACTATATGGGCAGGAGAAGGAAAGTGAGATCGTGTTGTGGTCATGTTCAGAAAGTACAGTCTACCACATTGTAAAAGTTAGTTTAGGATCTGAGAGTAAAATATGATATGAAATGTTACATAAGGAGAATGGCTTGCTCTGAATGAGTCTTTGGCTTTTTGGATCTAAAACAATGGAATTCTTCAGTGTAGCCAGATCTATGCACTGTTTGGAGAAACTGACACAATTTTGTTTTGCTTTTTTAAGAAATCAAATCCTCAAGAAGGCTGGTAAATATACCAAGCATACCAAATACAATCTACTGAGAAACATAATTGTAATATTACTATGCAAATTTCTGGTTCTTTTCATCTTGCTTTTAACTTCATGTCTCAAGATAATAGCTGCAGAGGAGAAAAAAAGCTTATCTATCTTAGGTTTTACTATTTTAACTCTTCTCAGAGTGTAACATTAAAAAGACAGGGTTTTCTGCATGTGGCAGAAAATGTAAATGATGGTGGTTTGAGTAAGAGAGGGTGTGTGTGTGTGTGTGTGTGTGTGTGTGTGTAAAGGCATTGGTTGTCTGGATTTGGTGCTTTTCAGCCACAGCCTCATTCATCCAGGACTCCACTCTCATGGCCTCTACTGCCAGTGATTCAGTCATAGAGAATAATAACATTGATGTTCTAATTTGCAAGACAAGGGAAAGGATAACAAAATGGCCAAAAGCATATGCAAATTATTTTGAAATGAAAAATTCAGAAAGTTGACCTCCAATTCACTTGCTTATGACTGGATTTTTGTCACCTAGCCATGTTTCACTGTTCACAAAGTCAGCAGGTACAGTATTCGGACCTGATGGCTATAGATCCAGCGAATCTGATCCTTGAAAGAAGAGCCAGTATTGGGGAGATGAGTTAGATTCTGAATTCATGGAGAAGGCAGAAGTAGAGTCTTGATGGATTCTGATTTCTGGCTGCAGTTAGTGGGTTTATGATAGTGACATTTATTATTATTGAGAATACATAAGAACAATTTTGCACAGACAATGAACTCAACTGTGAGCTGAGCCTGAGGTGTAGATGGGACCTTAGTGGAAATTTGCATGGTCAGGTGAATGTATGGGTCTGGAATTCAGGAAGGTAACCTTAATTAGAAATATGGATCAAGGAGTTGCCAGCATATAGGCAAGTATTGATACCCTGGAAATAGATAATAGTATTTACAAAGTTAAAGAAGTACAAAAGGAAGACCAAAGAGAGTCCCTTCAATTAGTGTGCCATATTGAATACCTGATTCTGGGTACTTTATAAAGAAACGAGGCTTATTTAACTCACATTTGGGAGACTAAAAGTCTCAGATCAGTTGGTCTATCTGTTCTGTGGCAGGCCCCTCACAGCATCAACATGGTGAAGAGCCGAAGGGGAAGCAGCCATGTACAAAACAGGCCAAGGGCATGGCGTAACTTCCCTTTTTAATAATGCGCTCCAGTGAGGTGTAACTCCCTCTGTGAGATCAGCATGAATCCTCTCGGAAGGAGTGACTCCATTCACCTAATCACTTTCCATCAGGCCCTGTCTCTTGAAGGGCCTACACTGAGGACCAGGCTAGCATCCCATGACACTTTGGGGGATGCACTCCAGTGACATGTAAACCCCAATAAAGGCATGAATATTGTTATCATGGGAGATGGTAGTGAGGAAAACGGAGGTAGGTCATCTGGGGAAGGATCTTGAGAGAAGCTCGAGTGTCAGGGAAAATCTGCATAAAATCAGGATGTATTGCTTATTCATCATTATGCAACAACTAACCTCAGCCTTACTGTCTTAACACAGTAATAGTTAATAGTCTATGGATCGACTGAGTGGTTTTCTGTTCTCTGGGAGCCGCTTGGACTGCCAGCGAGCATCCTTGCTATGGCTGGAGGGTGGAGTGTGGCTTCCACTCCTACCTGTCACACGTTGATGCTGGACTTCTGTCTCTACACGGTTTCTCATCACTACTAGCCTAGATGGTGCCTCATTCATCAGCTGTGTGATTTGGGGCTAGTTACTCAACCTTTCTGGGCCTCAGTTTCCTCATGTGAAGTAGAGCTAGTAGTATCTATTGTATTAGTGTTGCTAAAAGGATGATATTTCATCCTTCGTAATAAAAAGTCTGTAAAGTCCTATCAGCTTTACATATTGGATTATGTGTGTATGAGTCTATGTACAGAATCAAGATAACAGTATAAAAGCTTGTTGGATAAGAATTTTTGCATCTTAATAGGAAGGGCATTCTTACATTTGTGTGTGTGTGTGTGTGTGTGTGTGTGTGTGTGAGAGAGAGAGAGAGAGAGAGAGAGAGAGAGATGTTTGAACATGGTGTTAGGGAAGAGACATCTTGTTTGAATTTTTACTTAATCCTTGGTTGGTCTCCATTATCATGTTCAAAAGTGCATTTGAGATTGTCAGTAGATTCTGATATTGCTTTCTCTATTAGGGAGTTTATTAGTATGTAGAGGAATTTTAATCATACATACTTGGGTGAGCAGATTTTTGTGTTTAAGAAATGAGTACTTAAATTCTGTGGTCTTAAAGTTTTTATAGCATCCTTTAAAAACCTAATAAAATAAATAAACAGTCATACATACATATAGCTAAATGACTCAAATTTTTATCTCTTTCCAAGGTAAGCCAGAACAATTCTTCTTTTATGCATTTGCCTTTTTCATCATTAACATCTTTTGACTATTATTAACATTTAAAAATTTAATTTTTGGGGGCTGGGAAGGTGGCTCATGGTAGAGCAATTGCCTTGCATGCATGAGGCCCTGGGTTCGATTCCTCAGCACCACATAAGCAAAAAGAAAAAAGCCAGAAGTGGCGCTGTGGCTCAAGTGGTAGAGCGCTAGCCTTGAACTGAAGAGCTGAGGGACAGTGCCCAGGCCCAGAGTTCAGGCTCCATGACTGGACCCCCCACCAAAAAAAAATTAAGTTTTTAAGACTTTTACACTTCCATCATATATACACAAGGACACATGTGACATAAATAATAACAGAGATTCATTGGCACTCATTTACCAATCACTGAGCTGTACCCCCCCCAATAAACTCAGAAAAAATAGTAAGTTGTATATTCTTATTTATTTATTTATTTTTTGGTCTGGTCATGGGGCCTGAACTCTGGGCCTGGGCACTGTCCCTCAGCTCTTCAGCTCAAGGCTAGCGCTCTACCACTTGAGCCACAGCGCCACTTCTGGCTTTTTTCTTTTTGCTTATGTGGTGCTGAGGAATCGAACCCAGGGCCTCAAGCATGCAAGGCAAGCGCTCTACCACTGAACCACCTTCCCAGCCCCTGTATATTCTTATTGATTTAAAGTTGCATTTAATTAAGTTGTAATAGTGAAACTCAGGGTTGGTAAAAAGTCAGGTATATGTTTGCTTGTAGAATATTTAAAAAGAAGACAGTAGATATTTTTCCCATTAGCACAAATAGTTCCATATTTATTGTTTTCCCAATGCAGTACAGAAGAAAACCATTTCTACTCCCCTTCTCAGATGAGAAATGACCCTGGTTTCAAGCTTTCAGCATGAAAAAGGCTTCTGATTACTCCCCAGATGTGTTTACTTCCATGATTGAATTGAACAAACACAGCTTGAGCACCTGCAAAACCCAGGCTGCGTGCTAAGTACCAAACAGCCAAAGTGAATTCTGAGTCTCTGTGCTCAAGCAGGGGAAGGGGAAGACATAGAAACTAAACACTGTGGCTCCATGGTATGGCTGGTGGGTGGATTGACTGGTAAGAAGTGCTCTCTTGTTCTCTCGATAAGAAATTTGTTAAGCTGCAGGAGGGTGCAACCTAGAGTGTAAGAGCCCAGTTAGCTGTCTCACTCGCTCTCCAGACCATCTTCATCTCTGTGTTACTGATGTCTAGTTCAGAGATAGAGGGCCAATGAATGAACAAATAATTTGGAACTTAAAAGATCAGTAGGAGACAAGAGAAAATAGCATGCATGCAAGCATATTTATCACAATAGCTCACATCTTTTAAAAATAATATTCAGAATAAAGCATTGTTTTGGGAGTACTTAAAACACTCTCTGCTCTGTGATAGGATATTGACAGCACAGATCAAGACAGATGGTGTGAATACATTATGTATCGGGGGCTGATCAGGTAAGTGTGTAAGCTGTGGCTCAGGTGGTAGAGCACCTGTCTTGAACAAAAAGCTGAGGGACAGCACTCAGACCCTAAGCTCAAACTCCAGAATTGGCATACCCACAAAAATTCTTTGCTGCTTGTGGTTTCTTCATTTTTCCATATGAACTCTTCAAAATAAGAACTATTTGGATAATGTCTATAAAGTATTTCAAATTTCTTGGAGAGCTGAAAGCTCTAAGTCAAAATAGAATATGGATTTTTTTCTGATACATACAATCTTTTATTTTAGCCTTGTAAGTGCGGCTGAAAACATGCATGTGGTATTTGGGTTTTTAAAGGTAAGAAAGAATTTAGGCATACATGGGGTCCTGAAGAAATCCTGTTAGTAACCAAAATCATAAACATGTGGGAAGCAATTTGTATAGGCAGAATATTCATTAGTATGTAAAAGGAAAGTAAGGTTGCTAAGTATATTTATTTAAACAATGTGACTATTCCTTATTCATTTACTATATTATGAAAGAAATATTTTTAACAGAGTAATGAACCATGTTAATTGTGAGTGTAAAGTGAGACACGAGAAATTGGCCAACTAGTATACCTCATCAGATTGGGAGAGCACTGGTGATAGACCCCAGGTTCTTTCTCTACTCATTAGACTTTTTTATATGATAATAAAACCTTTATAAACCATTGCTACTTTTGCTACAGGTTGGGGTATGCGAGAATCTCTCACGCTGAACTGAGTGATTCTGAAATTCAAATGGCCAAATTTAGGATTCCTGATGACCCCATTAATTACAGAGACAACCAGAAAGTGGTCATAGACCACAGAGAGGTTCCCAAGAAAACTCATTTCAATCCCAGGTATGTGGTTCCTTTATTGTAGTATAAACCACCATGTCCTTTATAGAAACCTAAATATTGCTTCAAAAATGAGCTGAAGATTATAATACATTCTAGATAGTTGTTCCTGGTAAGGGAACCTAAGGCAAAGATTTTAAATTTCTGCTTAGGTTGTAGTTATGGTCCCTCTTTTCTGAAATGGAGATACATGGAGCCCCTTGGGTAAAAAGGTGATGATGTCATCACCATCATCATCATCATCAACATTATCATCATCACCACCACCATCCATCACTGCCATCACCAACTCTACCATGATGATAATAGTGAATAAAGTTAAGTGCCTTTCTGTCCCATATCCTCTTCCAGGTTCATTGTATGCTATCTTAACCCCCCCCTCAATGAATTGCTAATCCTATTATCCACATTTTGTTAATAAGGAGGCTCAGATTAAGGAGTGTGAAGTTCACTGGGGATTTTGTGGCAGAACTGTTTCATCAGCATGATGGGGTTGCTGTTGAGTCTCAGCTCTGGCTCCACACTAGATCCACTTGGACAGCTTTTTGAAAATACTATTGCTTAGCTAGGTGCTGGTAGTTCACGCCTGTAATCCTAACTAATCAGGAGGCTGAGATCTGAGGATCAAGGTTCAACCCAGCTTAGGTAGGAATAAACTACCAAAAAGATCAGAAGTAGAGCTGTGCCTCAAGTGGTAGAGTTCTAGCCTTGAGCAAAAGAAGCTCAGGGACTGTGCCTAGGCCCTGAGTTCAAGCCCAAGGGTCAGCACATATGTGTGCGTGCGCACACACACACACACACACACACACACACACACACACCATTGCTTGAACTGTATCCCAAACTGATTCATCAAGACCTCCTGTGGTAGAACCTGGGTTTGAGGGTTTTAAAATCTTTTTTGTGTTAGTTCATTTGCAGTTAGAATTGAGACTATGGAGTGTGGATAATTTGTTGCAGATATTCTACTGTGTAAAATAAAATGGGTTTTAATTTTGTTCAGATTTTAATAGAGGTTATTTATTTGTAACAAAGCATGATTTGGGGTATGTATTCATTTCACTACCATGGTTGCATGATTAGAAGAATTCTACATAAAACAACATAAGGTTGGGTGCTGGTGCCTTAAGCTAGTAATCCTTGCTACATAGGAAGATATAATCACTACTTGAATTCTTTAGCTTTTGTAAGGGTATTTTTGGGCATAATAATTGTCCAAATTATTGTTTCAGTGATGGAACAAATGCAAAAAAGTCTTTTTTCCCCCATCTTAAAATTTTAGTTTGCTTTTACATATGCATGAATCATTTATGTTCTAAGTGATTTTATAAGTTGATTACATCAATCTTGGTTTTATAATAGCTAAGTAAAACTACAACAAATTATGGCTGAACTTTTATACAGGAGGCTATCTTTCTGAAATAGTTTTACATATCAATTATTTCTTTCTTAGGTTTGGATCATATAAAGGAGGACACAATTATGAAAATAATCATCGCTTCCACATGAATACTCCCAAGTATTTTTTATGAACTATTTAAAACAAGAAGTCATTGACTGTGAAAATATAAAAAAAATACTGTAAGATCAAATGAAAAGATTAATTAAAGCGGGAAGATACAAACAACCTCAATTTTTAAAAAGCATAGAGCTATGCAGTAAGAAACTTCAACAATTTATAAAATATATTGCCTAACAAAAGCATTTGTCCAAATCACTTTTTTTTTTTTTTGGGTCCAGTTGTGGGGCCTAAACTCTGGGCCTGGGCACTGTCCCTCAGCTCTTCAGCTCAAGGCTAGCGCTCTACCACTTGAGCCACAGCGCCACTTCTGGCTTTTTTCTTTTTGCTTATGTGGTGCTGAGGAATCGAACCCAGGGCCTCAGGCATGCAAGGCAAGCACTCAACCACTGAGCCACCTTCCCAGCCATGTCCAAATCACTTTTCCTAAAATTTTTTCTTTTTTTTGGGGGGGGGAGGTCTGGTTGTGGGGCCCGAACTCTGGCTGTCCCTCAGCTCTTCAGCTCAAGGCTAGTGCTCTACCACTTGAGCCATAGTGCCACTTCCGGTTTTTTTCTTTTTGCTTATGTGGTGCTGAGGAATCGAACCCAGGGCCTCAGGCATGCAAGGCAAGTGCTCTACCACTGAGCCCCCTTCCCAGCCCCTTTTCCTAAAATTTTTAAACAAAAAATAGAATGTGCAGTCATGTAAAAAGTTTACTACTAGATAATTTTTTAAATGACTTATCTTTTAAATTCTGTGAAACAGGAAATTGACCTATTGAGTAGCTGAAAGACTACTTCAAAAAAGAAAGCAGCCTTAAATCCTTGGGATAAAGCAGGCCAAAAATACTTACAGACCTAGTCTAATTGTTAGAAGAACAATATGTCTGTGTAGCTATTAGTGACTGCAAGCATTTGTAGCTGTACCACCCCCACCCTTCCCTGAGCTGTGAGACATTGTCTATCTTTTCTCCCATGCTTAATATCACTCCATGGTTATAGACGACACCTATGTGGATTCTACCAATCCCTAACCAGTGCTAAATGCTGTCTTTAGTGTGTGCTTCTAGTGAAGATTATCTTGAGTTCTGGGCAAATAAAGGGAAAAGTAACATGTATTCTAGATTGATGGGTTGGGAACTTAGGAAATAAATGACTGTGATGAAGAAATAAATATGAGCCAACCATTTTGTTGGCCACTACTAATCAGTTCTTTGGAATCTTGTGCTTTAAATTGAGGCATTGCCCAACAAAACCCGGAGCATGTTTTAAGGCAGCTTTTCTGCACATTACAAATGAGCTTTTTGATAAGCACTTCCCAGTACAGGGCATATGCTTTATTGCTTAGATTTTGTCACAGGAAATCCTCAGGTTATCTCTAGCAGAAGGCACTGTGTCTTTACTAAGAAGCTCTGTTTCCATTTTTCTTTATCTCAAAATATTAAAAGGATATTCCTTTTTCTTCTACTAACCTTGTCCTTTTTTTCTTGTCATTGGGGATTGCAATTGCTAGAATACTCTTGAGGTTTAAATTTATGCTCAAAGCCTTTGCAAACACCCTCTCCCTGCTCTTTCAAAGAACTGGGCTTTGCTTTATTGGCTACATAGAAACCTGTCTCATTTTTTTTCTCCCACAAAATACCCAAAGCATTGAAGAATACCTTGGAAATCGACATCATAGGTAAGCAGTGGAAAATGCCCCTCCAGCTGCTTCTGAATGTGCCCATGCTGAACAGCACATCTCTTATGCAGAGCTAGGACTTCAAAGTTACACCAAAATTAAAGTTCAATCAAAGCATCATTCACTTGGAACATTTTGGCTTTGTGGTTATCAAGCAGCCTCTTACTTGCAGCAGCTTGAATTTCCATAAAAGGAACAACAGGAGTGCTACATTGCATTACTTGGCAGTGAAGGTAGCTGTTATTGTAAAGAGGAAGAAATGAATATAGAGGGAAGATTATAGGAGCAGAGTCAGCTGCAAATGAAAGGCAGAGTGTCTGAGCACTGTGGGAGGAGATCAGTGGGAAGGGGAGGTGTGCCCATGCTGTAGGTCCTCTTATTTCCCTTATTGTCAGTGTCTGAGGCCTGTGGAATTTCTGTGGCTTGCCATTTGGTTTGCCCTACTTGTCAGGAAAACTGGTGTGCCTCAGAGAAGTGCAGTGGTTTCTCAAAGGGCAAAAGTAGGGCGGGGTCTCTGCTAGGTTTGCATAAAGGCAAATTTCTGGGGTGCAGGAAAAATTATTTATTACAATTACTACTCTAGCTCATTGTATCTTAGTGTTTTGAATGTCAACTTTTGGATTGTGTTGATAGCAATGCTATTCAAAGGATATCCATCATATATGTATATATTGATTAGATAGATAAACATGTAAGTATTAATAAGTAAATATATATAGAGACATATACTCTACTAATTAATACATATGCTTATGAGATACACCCAGAAGCTTTCACTTGTGGATGGCCTAAACAAATATCTGAAGTGAAATCACAAATTCTCTTCCCTTATTTTGTCATTTTGCTAAGTAATCCTGGGTTAGCAGAGGGCATTTAGCTTCTTCGGTTTGCTTCCCCACTCTGGAGTTTGAGGGTAAGGTAAGATGTCACCATCTCACAAGCTGTTGTGAGTTAAGTGAGTACCCAAAGCACATTGGGAGCCTTGAAGCAGAAACCTGTTCTTTTCCTGGCTAGTTGGGGAGCCCATAATATCAACAGTTTAAGTTTTTTACCCTGTTGGGGTAACTCCATTAGTTCTAAAACACATCAGCATGTTAGATGTATGGAAGCCATACATAAGGTCTCTTATAGTCTACCGTACTTTGATATACATTGAGAAGCCTTGACAGGAAGGGCAAATGGAGAGAGCAGTGAACAAAGTTGCTCTACATATATCCTTTCCAAAAAGTGCCTATAACTTTCCACTAAAATTCAAATCCACAAGAAATGGTAGCATTGAGTGCTGGTGACTTACAGCTGTAATCTTAGCTATGGAGGAAGCTAAGATCTGAAGATCATAGTTTGAAGTCAGCCCAGGCAGGTAAGTCCATGAGACTCTTATCTCCAGTTACCCACCAGAAAACCAGCAGTGGTGCTGTGGCTCCAAGTGGTAGCTTGGTAGACTTCAGTGAGAGCTCAGGGACAGTGTCCCTGAGTTCAGGCCCCACAACCAACAACATCAACAACAAAGACAAATGAAGAAATACTAGCGATTCAAGATATTGTAGATGGAAACAGTTCGATATTACATTATTGCCAAGCACACTAGAAAAGTCACATGACTGATTATTCTGAGGGAGTAAGCATTCAAAGTTCTGACTTAGGCTGCACACGCTTCAGCCTAGCAGCTGAACACTGCTGAGTGCATTCCTAAGTATTGGTAACAAGTGTTGGCCAAAGCTTTTTGCTAAGATCCTTTAGAAAGTGTTCTAACCTTTTGTGTATGAGAATCGCCTGGGGGAGCCTGGGTAACTGGTACATTACTGGGCTTTGCCCCTAGAGATTTTGATCCTATAGGTATGAAGTAAGGCAAGAAATGTGTTTGGTTCAGAAGCTTCCCTGGTGATGTGATTGCAAGTGGTTTGCGCAAAAGAATTTATGGTTTTTGAATCACAGATGTTTTTTGGAGCTGTTAAGTACTTTAGAGCTCATTTGGTGTAAGAGTTCTTCATCTTTTTTCTTCATAAGAGCCGAGATGATTGCCACAAAGAAAAATGCATGACACTTTCTCATTAATATATTCTGATTTGCCAAAATCACAATGTTAGAGAGAATGAAAAATGCTACAGTTTGAACAGCAGCAATTCATTGCAGACGGAGGCATAGATTTTTCAGTGTATTTTACTCAGTGTTCTACTGTTGAACTTAATACTACCTCTTCAGAAAACTCTTCAGAATGCTAGGTAGAAAGAATAAGCAATAACACAGGGTGACCCTGAACTCAACTCATGTTTCTGGAATTGTTAATAATTTTGAACATGCTATTAGCGATTGATTTCCTGGTGATACGAAACACAATTGGCACATGTCATTGTGTCAGAGCTAGTTGTCTCCTGGAATTTCTGCTCCTTTTCTTCCCTGGGTGAGAATCTTCAAACTTTAGATAGGAACACAGATACCCAGAGAAAATATAACTCCCGGCATCTCTTACAACTAAGCATGACCATCGGACTAAGTTCTTACCAACAGGATAAAAGGAAACAGTGTGTGGGTTCCAGACAATGCCCATTTGGGTAAGGTCATTCACCATGATTATTCAGTTTCAATAGCTTTCGTGTAGCTTTGTTCCCACCAACTGAAGCTCTACCCAAACTCAGAGATTTGCTTTTCTCAGGAGGTGAGAATACTATTTAAACTACAGATCCCAAGGGAGTGGAATGGGACAAGAGGCACCATTATCAGGAGGAGAAATATGCCGGATCTTTGGAGGTTAATTCTCTTTGGTCACCAGGCTGTAGAGGGATAGAACAAAAGATCCTGACATACATACATACATATGACAAGGCTAGTGTGAGCAGGGAATTAAAGCACACAGCTTTCAGGTAGCGTGAAAAAAGGTGAAGAGGAGAAGATTTACCCACTGAGTGGGGTTTTGCAGTGCTAGGAAATTCAGCCACTGGCGTAGAGAGCTAGACACCCTCCAGGGTGTCACATTGAGGAGGGGTTAGGTACTGACTTCAGGAAGTTATGGCCAGCAATATGCTTTGAGACTGACTCAGAGGAAAAGCAGTCAGGAGAGTTTTACTACTGGCTTAGTCACCTGGGCTGATACATATACAAACCATAGAAGGTTGGGCTTAAGCAACAGATAATTATTTCTTATGCTATTTGGTTCCTGGCTAGTAGATGGCTGCTTTCTCATTATGACCTCAGTGATAAAGAGATGTAGTCTTTCTTCCTCTTCCTCTGGGGACATTAATGCCATCACAAGGTCCCCATCTTCATCACATTATCTAATTACTGCTCACAGGCCTTATCTTCTGATGCTATCATGAGCGAGGGGAGGGCACAGTTTGTTTGGACTACCAGAAACTGGGTGGTGTATAAGCAGCACAAAGTATATACAGTTCACTGTCTGGAGGCCAGGAGTTCAAGATCCAGATCCCAGTAGACGAATCATCTGGAAAGGCCGGCTTCCTGGTACATATGTATTACCTCTCTGTGTGTCCTCATGGGATTGAAAAAAATCAGAGGAGCTCTCAGGAATCCC